CTGGTTGAAGCGTCCCCAACCGTGTCACCTAGCTCCAGCGGAATGAGTAACGGCGCATCTACCGGTGTAGTCGCTGGCATTGCAGTAGGCGCCGTTGTGGGAACGCTGGCCATCATAGGCCTAGTGGGTTGGGCTATCTGGAGGCACTTGCGGAAGAAGAGGCAGGGTCATGGGAGCGGGGTTGCCGGGGCAAGCGACTTGGGAAATTTTTCTGCTGTTCAAGAAATCGGGCCCTCTTCTCCTGTTCGTTGGAAGTACGAGCTTTCTATGGACGCTCAGCAACCTCGTTATGAAGCTGATGGGATAGAAGGTGTGAGATATGAAATGGCCGGCGAACCAGTTACGACAAAAAATGAGGACAAAAGTCTGAGGATGAAGGGCGACGGAATGTCGACGTAGCCGTGAGCACCCCAAGTATGGGTCGGAGGTATATTGGACTTACGTGAAAGCTATCGAGAGAAAAGCTCAATATCAAATAGATGAGGTACACCGTAACCATGAGATAAAACAATACTAGCGTTGATGTCGGGCTCAGGAATGCCGTCAGTCTGTGGTATTTGGAAAATCACACTTTCTGGGGATATTGGAAATCATTATGTAATTCCATACTTACTTGAAGCGTGAAACTCGGCTCCGGAAGCAGTCTCTCTATGTTGATATAGCTGGAAATCTAGAGGTCTAGCTCTTTATATAGAATCCTTAATACTGAAGCCGTTGTTCTGGCACTGATCAAATGGTTCGGAACACGTGTTTGTAGGTGTTTGGTTCACATCAAAACTCCTTTGACAGCCACTTAAACTACTCATGCTTTAGCTGCATCCTATTTATCCTCACCCACGATCTCTGAAGCCGGCTTAAGTACCTGGTGCTGAAAAACTGACGGGGGCCTCAGCTCACCATATTGGTCCAATGTTGGAAGTGACAGCCTTCTCGCGCCAACGCAAGCATTGTTGGAGGAGGACGCCTCGGAATTACCCCTATAAAGATACTCAAAGTCTCCCACAACTTAAGACGCTTTTTCGGGATAAAGAAACTCTGCTAAGGCATGTGAGTATGTCGTCTCTCGAGATGCTACGGCTCACTCTTGTTATGAGTACAGGAGGTCTCAGATAGACGATGGTGTGAAAAAAGAAAGTGTAGGTTACTAGCTCTTGTAGTTCAATAAAAGCTGTACCTAGCAGTGCACATGAAATCATTAACAATAATACCGCTAGCGTAACAGCCAGGTTAGATATCTACTGTAGCCATGCTTTCACCAAGTTCCTAAGCCCACTCGCCATCCATTCTTCATCAATCTTCGTCATAGCATCAAACCCATGCTCACCAGGCTGGACCGCCAAATTGAACTCCAACTCAGGGTCAACCTCCCTAACCAACTCTTTCAACGCGATGTTCCCCTTCGCCGGCACAACACTATCATCAGCACCCTGCCACACGAAGACACCACCACGCGGGAGCTTCTGCCCAGCCCTCAACCTCTCAAACGGAAAAAGCTGCTTCTTCTCGAGCGGGAACATCTTGGGGAAACCGCCGTGTTGAAGATTGGCGAACATCAGGAGGCCTCTCTCGAGATTTCGGTCGTTGGAGATGAGTGCAGGTGCCTCACCACTGCGAATCTTTCCAAAATGATCATCGATGATGCTCTGAGGCAGGGCTAGTCCGAAGACCGGAGCCGTCGGCCTCTCCATGAAGTGTGCGTCGGCAAGGTCGATGCAAGGGTAGGCGGCTGTCACAGCCCGGATTTCCTTCGCATGAGACAAGCCTGTCATGATGCTCAGGTAGCCTCCCGCACTGTCACCAGCCGTAAGGATCCGATCCGTGTCGACATCAACGCGGCCTCCAGTCTCCTCCTTGAGAAAGGAGGCCAGCTTCTCATGAACCCAGGCCCAGTGATCCTCTACATCTTCGAGTAGATCGTCGATAGTGGACTCTGGCGCGAGACGATAGTTCGGGCTCACAATCACAGCCGAGTGGCGTGCCGCGAGCTCCATGTGCCAAGGCGCGAAGAATCCGGGATAGAGACTCGCGCCGCCGATGAAGCCGCCGCCATGGTAGCGTAGTATGATGGGGCATGACGAGGTGACCGGGCTCGGGGCCTCTGTCAGCTTCTTCGGTATGAGGACATCGGTGGTAATGGAGTGGTCTGAAACTGTTTTGTAAATCGTTGTCAAGATGGTAAAGTCTGAGAAACGAGACATGTCGTCTGGATGCGGCAGGAGATCCATTTTGGCTTGTGGAAGGCGGATCCGGGCCAAGTGGCTTTGTGATAAGCGGCGCTAGTTGTTTGAACAGATGAAAGGGCTTAGCCTCATTGAAGTATTCTAAATTCGCAGGTAGTTCAGAGGAGAGCGTGTTCCTGCAATACCTGTTGAGCTCAACATGGGTCTCTCGGTTGCTTTCTGTCCCCGACAGACAAGCTGACCCGCCGATACTTATTAAGAAATCTCCACACTACTATACTTTCTCAAACATCCCAACCCCGCGAATAGCATTGACTAGTGTCCTTCGGATGTCGAACATGAAATTTGGAGCTCCGTGCTTCGGAATCCGGTCTTTTGAGTTTCGGGAACTAGCAGTCATAGTCTCAACTTGGACTAAGCTGCACGAGTCTTAACCCGCAAGCTTGAGAGCCCGCGCCAGTGTGGGTGAGACTTGAGGGCTAAGACGCCTGTTAAATCCCACCCTCGGGCGGCAATTGCCCACGGCATGTGTCCGTATTGGACAAGGGCCTTCAAACTGGGTGGCCAGGGGCGTCAAATCAGGGCCTCAGATGATCGCATTGATGGCCCATTTGGCGTCAATCTCATGAAGCTTGTTGGGCAGAAAGCCATCTTTGATCGCCACAGACAAGCCCGCGTCAGTACTCGGGAGGTTGGCGAATTCATCGTACCTTGAATGCTGTTGACTGCCAGTGGTTTCTGTGAATATTAACCTAAATGGAACCAAATAAGACACTGAGCTCTCTCCTACTGTTAGGTCAAGGTCCTTCAGTTTTGCATTCATCACTCAAATTCATAACTCTAAGCTAGTAACGAAGGTAGCCTCCCAGCCACTAAAAGTAGCATCATTTCAGATTTGCTGATGGATGTTCTCTTAAATATCCATTCTTTGCGAGTATTCAAAAGAAGTTTAGAGCGAACACATATGAGATACACCAATTCATTGCAAAAGGCGTCTATAAGGCAATTCACCATACATACCAAAAGGACGAACTATAACTAAAGTGAGCAGCATAAGCCTGCTACTCCTCAATATCGGTATCGTTGATTTCTCTCTATACAAGACCAAAGCGAGAAAGAAGCATGATACAAAGAGGAAAATCGCATGAAAACTTATATTCACCAGCTAAGCAACAATCGCGATGAACATGGCCCACATCTTTGTTAGCCCTTCTTTTGGTAGGATATGGAGAATAATGTATAGTCAATTTCTCGACGCAAATGCAAAAGTCCTAACCTTCGAAGGAGCAAGTTAGTAGAAGCCTAGACTAGATGAAGAGACTGATTCAGGAGAAAGGGAGGATCAGGTTATGCCGGGAGAGGGTTGTATGGACTTAGAAGTTGCACAGACTGCTATGAAATAGGGAATAGGTCGAATACTTGTGGCGTCGAACTTGCCGTGTTATTCACGATTTCGGCAGTTCTAGAAGCTGTTCTTTTTAGGGATCTCGCCGAGGATTATGATCAACCTTCTTGACCTTCGTGGCAAGCGACAAAAAGATCTCGGCAGTCGTCTTTATGAGCTTAGCATTTGCGACAGCTCTTGCGATTTCGAGCCTTCTTTTCCTTGGATGGTAAATGAGACATACAAAGGTGAGTGATGTAAAATGAATTATGCTGGAAAACTCCAGAGAAATAGATACTCGATCGTTGTTTTTGGAATACGACCAAGTAGCGTTGCGGAATAGGCTTGCAAGACTTCTACCAGGTTGGTTCTACTACTATCGATGATCAAGTGTTCCTACGGCTATTTACTACAGTCCTTTCAAAGGCTGTTTGCAGTACATTATAGATTTTCTTTGTTGAGCGCTATGCCTCGTCCGCGGTTTCACGCCCAAGCCTTCCGCGGGTGTTCATGTCGCTACTAAATCATTGCTTGCTGTCCTTTTGGTAAGATTGCCTACCCAAGAGGACGTCAGGGCAGGTTGGGTGGACTAGGTGCAAGTGATGTCGGGGCTTACTTCCGGGAACTTTGCAGTCAACCCCCATGGACGGCGGCCCTGATTGTCCTCAGTAGACCAGCAGACGGAACGTCTGTTGATGATATCGTAATTAGCGAGATCACCACTCATCCCATTGAACAACCGCAGATTTTCGGCGTTGCAAAGCCTGCTACGAGCATGATAGGATCAAGTCGCCCGGCGGCAATGATCAGCGAAGTCCTATTTCGTCGCTTGAAGAGCCTGGGTAAAGTACTTTGCGGGAGGCCAGCTTCTGCCTTCCTGAGACAGAGAATGTCCACAAAGAGACTCAGCTGAGAGAGCAGCAATGATAGTGATGGGTGGAGACCACAGAAAGGCATATCGCACAGTCGCATCACTGGCCAGAGCCTGTGTCATGTCATTGAACCCAAATTGTACACGATTTATTGTAACATCAGCCGCCATTGATGGCAGTCATCTAGCCTAATCCTCAAAGTCTTGGCCGCTCTAAGTAATCCAACCATTGTTGGTTTGCTCGTGCGTACTTTTCTACAAAAAAACATATGGCCACCTAACTGAACTAGTAGAGCCAGCATCTCAAAGGGCTTCACTCTGTTCTGTGCTGGTGACGATCTCTATCAATGCGTCTAGAGGCGGGGATCCCAGCCTCGAGCTTGCTCGTAGCCGTGGCAAAGAAGCGATCCATCAGCTGGTGGGCAATTGCGGGAGTTTCGGTGACAGAGTTGTTGCTCAGATGAGAGACTCCGTCCATGAAGGAGCCCGACGAGACTCTGCTGCTTGTTGGAGTGATTGCGTCACTTCCTTCGCTGCGAGACACTGTGCTGTAAGACGTGCTCCTCTAGTCCACATTACGTTCAGCAGTCGGGGCACCGCCACGCCAGAGGCCGTAGAATCCGTCGCAATTCTTCCACATCTTAATCGTACCGTCCTCGGAGCCAGTTCCGTACAGTTTGCCATCAGGGGAGAAGGCGATGGACCAGATGGGGCCATGGTGCCCCTTGAGAGTTTCTGTTAGCGTGTTAGTGGGTATCCTGCTTCCGAGTTTCTATCCCCAACTCACCAATCTCGCCAGCGTCGTCCCAGCGGCAGACGCGTGCCCAGGTCCCCGGCTCTTCGCCCATGATAATCTTACGACCCTTGAGGTCCAAACCGACGCTTGCAACGCCATGCTTCAGTTCCAAGCGCTTGAGTTCGTCCATCGCTTGCGGGCCTCCCCAAAAGTAGACCCACTTGCCGGCGGCCACAGCCAAGACAGGAAGGCCGCCTCCAATATCGCCGGGAGAGGTGTGCTCGGGCGCCAGGGAGACAAGCTCGCAGGACTTGATTTCGCCGTCGAGGACCTCCTGACGAATGACGTTACGGGTGGGCAGGTCGAACCACCTGAGGGTGTTGTCGGATGCAGTGACGATCGTGTTAGGATCCTTGGTCCAAGCAATGAACTTGATGGAGCCAGTATGGGTGCCTTCGCCAATTTCAAAGCCAGCCGAGGCAGGCACGGTGATGGGCGTACCGGCGGGAGAGTTGGGATCGGGGGCGAAATCGCTGAGGTCGAAGACTCGAAGCTTCTTCTCCATGCCTCCTGTGGCGATAAGCTCAGAGTTGTCAGGCGGGTAAGCGACGGCGCGGACAATGTGGTTGTGCTGAAGGGTGTAGAGGACCTCTCCACTGTGAGTGTCCCAGACCTTGCTGCTGGCCATTAGTCACGATTCGGAGGATGAGTGACGTGTGACAAGACCTACGCAGTGAAGTCGGCAGAGGCGGTTGCGGCGTTGGAGGCATCAGGACTCAATCTGGCCTGCCAGACAGCACCCTTGTGGCCAATGAAGGTTCCGATCCTGTATGAGCTCTCGTCAGCCACGCGCGGTCAATTGGTCTGGAAGGAGGAAGCTACCAATCGCCAGTAACGCCATCGCGTAACATTGGATTACCATCTGCGACAGGGTTAGCGAACCCCTGGTGGCAGCGCAGGATCATCTATCCCCAGCTTACCCTTGCAAGCCGAGATCATGTAGTATTGCTCTCCTTTTTCAAGGCCAGAGAAGCAGACGTGAGGAACAGGTCGAGAGTGACCATGGCAGGTCAGAGGAACATATTGACGCGAGGTCTCGGCAGCGGGAGGGGCAGCGGCAGGAGGGGCAGCGGCAGCCATATCGTCGTTGATATGAGGGGTTCGAGGTACTAGGTGCTTGTTTGTATTCGTGAGAGTCGCAATTGCAACGTTTGCGCTGTGGAGGGGTATCAAGTTGTCGACAAGTTGGATTGTGTTTTTTTCTTCGGCGATTGACAGTTGCAGGAGATGAGGAAAAATGAAGACAAGGAGAGTCAGTCAGGTACAGCCGTTACGTCGTAAATATCGTGAGGAGTAGGTACGATGGATCGCGTGAGGGCAAGCAGCGCAGCGACGGCAACAGTAGCAATAGCTCCAGGAAATAGAGCGAAAGCACGTCAAGGGAAAGAAAAAAAGGAGGATGGGGAAAGCTGCAGGAGGATGCGAGAAGCAATGGGAGAGCGGCGCGGGTGAAATAATAGTGGGGGTTCCCCGAGTCGGAGCAAGGCCGATTTGCACCTGGATTCTGTCAGGTGCGATTGTTTGGTGGAAGCCGCTGCAAGAGCAGGTGCGAAATGTGAGAGCGTACCTAATGGAAGCCAGTTCCATGAAAAGAGGTACAAAGGTACACCTTGTCCCTTGTTCGGAAGGAGTCAAGGAGATTCGATGGACCCCTGAAACTAGCCCGGTCCTGCCACGAGCAGCCAGAAATTCAGAGTGACCCCGCGCTGCTCTGTGCATGTCGCGGATTCTATGCCTACCTAATACCTACCTAAGAAGAGGGGAGCTGCTGAGGTAAGCTTCCTTGTAGTGTGGCTTGCAGGCAACTTTACCTGTCAGAAGCAACGTGCTTTGCTTGCTGGCCCCGCAGATGTGGCTGACATGAACTGACTCCCCAGGGACAGCCTGCCCGCAGCGGGTATCCGCGAGGTACGTAGGTACTGTGGCGTATTGGAGCTTCAGCGTTCCCGCTTCCGTCATCATCGTCTACCTAGCTACCTTACCTACATAACCTAAGGCAAGGAAGGTACCGCTCACCACCACGAATCAAGATACGAGCGAGCTTTCCACCTAAAGAGTCACACCTGGACTCTTTTCTGATACCTACCTACTTTTCCCGACCCCCATCACAGATTGCCAGCAATGACGACAGACTTCAAGCTATCCGCCCAGCTGTCCGGCCACGACTCGGACGTAAGTAAACGAACCTTCAACGCTCTATTCGTCAGCTAATGCGCACGCAATCCACAGGTCAAGGCAGTCAGCTTTCCTTCTCCTCAAACCCTACTCACTGCCTCTCGAGATGGCAGTGTACGAGTCTGGCGTCAAACGTCTGGGGCCCCTCCGACTTTCGAACCCACAATCTCAAGTCAAACGTCCGAATTCGTCAACGCTGTCACATACTTTCAACCTTCTGAAGCATACCCGGATGGACTGATTGCCTCCGGTGGTAAGGATACCATCGTCGAAGTCAAACAACCCCAAGCTGCGCCGAGCGACAATGCCGAGAGACTTTTGATAGGTCACTCCCAAAACGTGTGCACTCTGGATGTGTCGCCCAAGGGATCCTATCTTGTATCGGGCGGATGGGATGCTCAGGCCATTGTCTGGAACATCAACACCTGGGAACCTGAGTATCGTCTCAGCGGTCATGATAAGAGTGTGTGGGCTGTCCTTGCTCTTGACGAGGACACGGTGGTCACGGGATGCGCCGATACGAGCATCCGCATTTACAAGCTTTCCTCCGCCATTGCCGGGGACGCCGAACCACAGTCAACTATCCACACACCTGAAGTCATTCGTGCTCTCGCAAAGGTTCCCAAGGGCCATTTGAGCGGAGCTGATATTGCAAGTGCCAGCAACGATGGCATCATCCGGCTTTGGAAGCTGAATGGTCAGCAAGTTGGGGAGCTAATCGGCCACGAGAACTTCATCTACGCTTTGACCAGTCTACCTTCGGGTGAGTTAGTCAGCTCTGGAGAGGATCGCACTGTACGAATATGGAAGGGAAACGAGTGCGTTCAGACAATCACACATCCCGCCATCTCGGTCTGGGCTGTTGCTGCGAACCAGGAATCTGGCGACATCATCACAGGAGCCAGTGATGGCGTTGCGCGTGTATTCACGCGCAACTCTGAGCGGGCAGCCAGTGCCGATACCATCTCCGCGTTCGAGGAGTCGGTGAAGGCTTCAGCAATCCCTCAGCAACAATTACCAGATATCAACAAGGAGAAGCTACCTGGCCCCGAGTTCCTTCAGTCTAGGTCGGGTACCAAGGAGGGCCAAGTGCAGATGATCAACGAGGGCAATGGACTGATCACTGCCCACCAATGGTCCCAAAGTGAGTTGACCTTAAGGCACTCTCTCCGATACACGGCTAACGGCGTATAGGTCAACAACAATGGATCAACATTGGCACCGTAGTTGACTCCGCTGGAAGTAGCGGGAAGAAGACAGAACACAATGGCAAGTCTTATGACTACGTTTTTGACGTTGATATTGAGGACGGAAAACCACCCTTGAAGCTGCCTTACAACCTATCGCAAAACCCTTACGACGCCGCGACAAAGTTCCTCAACGACAACGAGCTGCCCTTGAGCTACCTGGACAACGTGGCCGGCTTCATCACCCAGAACACCCAAGGTGCCACTCTAGGCCAGTCAGCACCCTCAGGTGGCGCTGATCCTTACGGCACAGAGTCGAGATATCGCCCTGGCGAGTCTGAAACTTCAGCTCCTAAGCTCCTGCCGCACATAGAGTACCTCTTCATCACTGCCGGCAAATACGATGCCATGATCAACAAAATTCTCACAATCAACGCGAACATGATTTCGTCTGGTCGCAAGGACTCTGCCCTGAACCCCAACGAGCAAAGCATACTCAAGGCTGTCAAGGAGGCCATTGAATCTTCGACGGCCGTCAGCCAGCAAGGCATCGATCTTGCAGTCAAGATTGTGACACACTGGCCTTATGCCGAGCGACTCGCTGGCCTGGATCTGTTAAGATGTGTTGCTCCGGCACCTCTCGCTGCTAAGCTCACACTTCCAGGTACCTCTTTCCTCCAGGTCGCTGCGACCAGCGCTTTGGAGGCGACAGACGGTGCCGCGCCCAATGAAAACTCGGCCATGATGGTACTCAGGGCATTTGCCAACATCTTCAGCTCCCCTGAGGGTCGAGCGCTAGCCGCGAAGGAAGCTCCTCTTGCAGCGAGCGTTCTCGAGCGTGTGTTGGGTATTTCTGGTGGCGCTGCGATTGGGCCTTCCAATCGCAATGTCCTAGTTGCTGCGACTACTACTCTAATTAACTATGCCGTGCTCGCCTTCAAGGAGAAGTCTAGGCAGGAGTCGAAACGTCTCATTCAGGCCCTTGGAAAGATACTCTCTACGCAATCCGACTCGGAGGTTATCTACCGAGCGCTTGTCGCTTTGGGAACGTTTGCTACTACCAACAAGGCCGAGGTGAAGAGTCTGGGTGGCGAGGGTTGGATCAAGGGGGCTATCGACCGCGTGTCGGAGCCGCGGGTGAAGCATGTGGGACAAGAAGCTCTGCAACAGCTGTGAACGGTGCAGAGTGTGATGGGATTGACGTGGGGTAATGAAGCTTGCGTTATGGAGTTTTCGGAAACACGAGTTGGGTGACGGCTGTGTGATGGTCATAAGAGTGCGCGCCTGCTGACGCTCCGGCGAAACGGGAGGAAGAGGTGAAACGCCGGGAGAGCTGCGGGTATCATACAGATTCAAGTAGGTAGCTGGCCATCTTGACCGCTATCCATAGAGCAATGGATGCCAGATAGGTTACATTCCATGGTATTCTCCAGTGTGGCTAATTGGCCGTCTGGTACAGTTTAGTGTTCGATGTTATGACTACAAATCAACCCAGCGTTGTCGTTTGGCCATCATTGTCCGACAAGGCTGCAAAGGTGACCAAACAAACTTGTGCTGGTCAACATCCCGAGATTCCTCCGCCACATTAAATAGTACCAGTCTGTGTAGTGTTTCTGAACGTGTTTGTAATTGTGATCGCGGTGAGCGAGCTTTGTTGATGGGGGTACTTTCGAAAAGAATGAGTACTTGGTTCAAAGAGGAAGAAAAAAACCGCCTTCGGGCCACAGCCATTTGAAGCCATTCCCCCATTTCCAAAAAAAAAAACAAAAACCAAAAAAAAAAAACGCCATCTTTAATGCCTCCCAAGAATGTACAATATTTCCCAAGGTATAATCCATCCTTTGCATCCATCCGTCTCTCAGACCAAAACATCCATAAACTTAGGCCGCGCCGCTGAGTTACATCACGGTCCAGAGCGCACCGAGCAAAAGCGGGAGCAAACCAACGACGGAGAAGCTCGTTGTCGTCGTTGTCCTTGCGCCAGCGGAAGTTCCTTGCACATACCCCGCGCCAGACTCTTTCGTCGTGATAGTGTAGACGTCGCCGAAGCCAATGTCGGTGGAGTTGAAGCAGTTTGTCTCGTTGACCTTTCCGATTTTCGGGTCGCCTGGCTCAGCGAATTCAATATCGACGCACTGTTATTGCGGTATTAGCATCTTCCTGCCTATCTCTCTCTCTCTCTTTCTATGGCTAGGGTAGGGGAACAGGGAAAACGTACTGAGAACAGAGCGGCGCCGTGCACAGCAAGCTCGACAATTTGGATCGTAGCGTGATCGCCGGCCTTGACGGTGGTGTTTGCCGGGAGGGGCACTTGCGGGAGGCAGACGGTGCCCGGATAAGGGTTCTTGCTGGGGCCAAGGATTTGGAAGACGGGAATCATGGGGAAGGACATGTTGATGGGACCGCCGTCGGGCCCGTCGCTGCCGAAGCCCATGTTGGCATACATCATTGCCTGGGCGTGGCCCTGGAACCAGCCTGGTTGGAAGGCGAGGGCACCACCCGTCGTGGGCCAGTAAGTGCGATTTTGGGTGACGTGCATGCCGCCGCCTTTGGGGATTGATTAGCGACGAGTCTTTGATTTATAGAGTGCATGAGGGTTGAAGTATGGTCGGGGAGAGAGCTATGGCGATAGCGAAGGTAGGTGATTAACGGCCGAGGAGTGAGGACTTACATGGGTAGTTCCATTGCATGCCGTAGGGGAATGTGTCATTGGTAATGAGGTTATTACCGCGCCAGCCCGGGTAGGAGATGACGATGTGGGCTGACGCTGTCGCCACGAGGACGAGTGCTGATAGTGTTGAGAAGAGCATCTTGGCGATCTGTGTGTGTAAGGTGGCCGTCAAAAGTCCACGATTGTATTATTCCAACGGTGAACCCTTCCTTCTCTACACTTGGAAACCGTCTTCTGCAAATATACGCTTTCTTCTTCCACCAACTTTTCGTCTGGTTGTCTGTCTATCCGAATGGCTTTTAAGCCCGCCTGGAGATATTTGAGGTGTTTGGTTGGTCGGATGGTTCGTGTGAGCTTTTGAGGCAAACCTCGCTTGAGACAACAAAAGATTTTCCGAACTAGGACCAAGCAGAGGGGTGTCCACAGCTTTGTTCAAGAACAAGGTTTCTGCGAGATCAAAGAATGTTTTTCTTGTGGCAGTAGGTGAGTTGAATAGGAGAGAAAAGAAGGGAGATGGTACAAATGAGAGGCGGCAGGCTGAATGATATTTGGGCGGGGATGGGAGCCCGCTTGTTAAGGTACCACCCACCTTAAGGTCAGGAAGATGGTCCCGGCCGACCGATCCAGCCGCCGGGCCATGGATATTCATTTCTGCCATGCCATTGGATTCGCACCTTGCAGCCGTCCAATCGAGTCTGGTCGACCTGATGTGCGCGTGGAGGTGTGAATGCGAATGGGGTCCCGCAATCACACCGGGAAAAGGACGGGAGGACTGGCAGAGGCACTGCAGTAGCCAGTAGTGTATGCATATCCTTCACGCCTTCATCTGCAAGACGATGGGCAATGGCTCCCGTTCCCCTGCCGGGCTAGCGACGGAGCCAATGGCAGACAGAAGCGCCCAGGCAAGTGAGAGTCGCTGCGGGAGTGGCAGGGGATTATTCAATCGAAGGTGGTTGTTTGGGGGGTAGGAGGCCAATGAGATGCCGTATCACCTCGGTGGCAGAGAGGATCTCGACGATGAGTGGTCAGAGGGGAAGGCAATTAACAGGGATGCTGCGAGGTGTAAGCGCCGGCTTTACACTACGTTGGCTGCAGGATGCAACCTGGCACCACTGCCACAGCAAATCCCCGTCCTCGGCTTGTGGCTGTTTGTTGGACCTCTCCACGCTCACATTTCGTCGAGGTACAGACCAACAAGATGGTAATCCAACGGTATACTAATATCTGGTTGACTGGCATTCGACAGGACTGACTAGGATTATTGATGATTGTTGTTGAATTCGTGCAACACCCCTCGGTGATGATTCGATCCCGTCGCGCATCATCCGAGTTGAAATGACCGTGACGGCATGGACGCGTTGGCTCTGTCAACCCTAATGAGCGCTTGCTCCTCGCTCGCTCTTGAGCTCTATGCCATGTGGTCGGTAAAAGAGTGGAAGTTCAGACACAGAGTATTCCTGTCGTAGATGACCACCTGACCGCCATCGATGAAAGCCGAAGGGCGGTAAGCTGACGGCGTTGGGTTGCGTCTACTCCGAGATGTCCAGCCGCCTCGTGAGGTGATGCAGATCAAGAAAGTCAGCCTCAAAGAAAAGATTGACCTGGTCTGGGGGCCCCGAAAGAGTGCCTAGGTGGGTGAGATGGCCCGGGCAGGGTCTCACCTCAGAGACCAGCGACATGTTGTGGAGGAGTTTATAGCTTGCTGCAGCTTCCTGGCTAGATACGGGGCACAGGTACTCCGTAAGTGCCGTACCTCAAGATAAGATACCCACTTTGCCATAATACCTACTTGCCTAAGGCAGATCAGTAGGTGAGAGTGGGCTCAAAGACCTACGGACGGAGGAAATTGAATTGATTTGTTTTGAAGTGTGAATTTTGAGTCTTTGGGTAGGTCTTTCAGGTCATCTCATTCCACCCAAAAACGTGGAGGGAAAGATGGACGTTTATGGGGGTGCCTTACCTTACATCGATGCTTCTATTCTTGGCCTTCCCTTCCACCCTTCCAACTTGGTCCTTTCTGCATTTTTGGCGGGATGGAGCAACGCCACTGTCAGATTTTAGTTGGAGGCGTGCAGCCCTTTGTGCACCTTCCAGGTCTTCCTATTCTCTTACCTGACTTGCCTTACAAAAGATGACAGTGAAGGTACATGCTCTTCACCGCCTGCCAATTTACAATTAGGAGCCCCGCCCTACAAGCAGGCGGTGGCCGAATTCTGCCGCACGAAAAAGTCCATCCCACCAACGCAGCATCTTGTTTCCAAGGCAGGATCAATAACCCCGCGCCGCCGCACACGCCCATCATGGCCACGGCCGAGCAATTTGAGGCCGAGAAACCTAAGCATGACGAATGGATACACGTTAAATCCAAGTCCCGGTCCCGGCGGAGCGCCCCCAAGCCACCTGTCAAGGGTCCTGGTGCAATCTCCAAGCCTGCTGAACCCCGCAGCCACAAGTCCGTCATCGACATAACGGCCGAGTACCACTCCTTCAAGTCCAAGTGGCGCGAAACAATATGCTGCCTTAGTCTGAAGAAGCTGGTGAGGGACAATTTCGAAGGCCATCGGAGAGTCCGTAAGGCGGTGTGTCTCGGTGTGGGCACATTTGATCCTGAGGACGGAGGCTGGGACGCAAAGAGGAGGAGTTATATCCAGCTCGACGCCTTTTTGACCGTAGTCGAGGTTTTATGTATGCCTACGCTTAGCTGTCGCAATACTTTATACCAAACTGCACTGCAAGCTCTCAGCTAACCGGATCCCCAGCCGAACTGTACAAAGAGTCGATACCGTGCTTATTCCAGGAACCTCGCTTCACTCTCAATGACGAAGCATTTCTTACCAGCCTTGGTCATGAGGTCGTCGAGTCCCCTGCCGCCTTCGAGGCCGTGGATGAAGAGACGATTGTGTTCGCGGTACACATGTATCGGCCAATATATGAGGCGACGCTCGGGAAGGCAGTGCCTGCCATGTTTGTCGGGACAGGATGGGACGTTTGGGATGAGTGCGTAAAGGTACTACTCCATGGCCGCCCAATGCTTATTGACATTTTGCCAGATTCGCCTTGATGAAGGATGGTGATTTCAAGTGCATGAGTGATATGCATGCCTCGCATAAGCACTTCCGCTTCCCACAGGATGGTACATACACTACATTCTCAAGCACGTGTGTGTACTGGCGGCCAAAATCCGAGACTGTGGTTCAACAAGAGACTTCGGTCGGCGAGAAAGATGCGTCGTTACCCCAAGAAGATGTAACGATTGTCGCCTGCGAGACTAGTACCCAGATAGAGGAAAGTCCTCAAATTACTCCGGGCAGAGAGTAGGGCTTGGCGCCTTGGATACTGACCCTGTCGATAAAGGAGTGAGGCTTCGAATCACAAATTGCTCAAGAAAATCAATATCACCACCACGGGGCTTTATGATACTGTACTTACAAGCATGCTGCGTTTGCGTTGAACATCTTCTGGCTATCCTGCTAAGCGCAGGCCCTCGAATAGTCAGCGGCATTTTGCATTAAGAACGATGCATGTGTTGAAAAACATCCGAGCAGCTCCAGAAACATCTGGTCCCTAGTATCCATGGCCAACTCATCCTTCGCAATATATCGAAACACTTCGGTTTGACGCCAGGTGCAAATGCCCTCTTACTTCCACCAAGATCAAGACTACACAGCAAACCCTCCTACACTCACACTCCTAGGAACTTTTCCATCATAGCCCTCCTTCTCTTGGCCAATCATCACAAACTTCACCTTCTTGGCACCAAAGAACTGTTCAAAGTCAGCATGAAAGTTCCCCACGTTCAAGATGCGCCCTTGCTCCCACTGGAATGTCACGCGCCGGACAGTTCGGGTCAAAGCCCATTGCCGTGACCTTGACCGTGCCCATCACTTCAATCTTCAAAACATCCCCCGGCATAAGAGGCGACGACACCAACATATTTTCGGACGCGAAGACAGGGTAAAGCACTAGCAGAAAGCACGTCAACAGTCTCTCCTTGACCGCATTATCATCGCTACCCGGTGCTTCAACGCGACTGCTGTTGAAATGCTCTTGCAGAATCCTCCTAACCTGCACGACCGATTCGGCAGGCTTTCCAATATGGAAAAAAAAAAAAAAAAAAAAAAAAAAAAAAAAAAGCACCGGCGTCTGGGAAACTAGGCTCATCTTCCGGCAGATAGTACCCGCGTCGGAGTCCCGTTCAGGAGTTGCCGGGCTACGAAACCCGAGAATCCGTCCGAGATTTGGTCAGGTCGAAGTTGGCCCAGTACAACAAACTCTGATTGAAGAGCGCCTCGAAGACGGATGCTGCTGCGCCAAGGACTCGCGCTGCCATGCCGAGGGCAAAGTCATCGAACGCATACTGCAACCACGGCTTATCTCACGCGTTCTCTGGACGTGAGCTGACATCGAGATAGTCTTGGGTATGGCAATGTAGCCCATCTTCTCATCAGTCTTGACCTAGCCGCGCACATTATTGGCCCGACAGTCGGGTAGCCAGCCATCTTGCGGCCAGGGTACCTACAATCTGTGCCAATTCCCGCGGCGAGGTAAGCGCAAACAAGGGAAACAGATTGTGGTACGTTTCGTAGATACATTAGAGGCTATCGAATGCGGGCGAGGAGAGTCTTTATGTAGCGAGGGCGCGTTGTTCGTGGCGTCATTCGGCAAAAGTACGTGTAGGAGACATTCCCAAGAGACTCGCTCGTGTTGTTCGAAAGCGCCATACGACCTAGCCTCTCCTTTCCCGCAGACTACTACTCGCCGCAACGACCTTCTCAAAGTTCGACAGAGGTATCACCCGCTTTATGTGATTGCAGGCTCGATCAAACGAAACGAACGGGAATCCAAGATGGACTAACACCGGAGGCTTTGGCGTGAAACATACGATGGCCCAGGACCGCGACGGTTGGCTGTTATCTGGCCTATTTCAGCGCTCAGCCAAAGGCACCATATTCTAGCTATCTAGTACGGGGCGACCGGCGTCTATTCCGTTGACATATCTCCTAACAACATACGTGGCCCTTCATGGCCCTCGTGATCGCTAAGCCGTCTCACTGGGAAGCCGAGCTTTTAAACTGGCTACGACCGAAACTGCTCCGTCACGTTACGTTCACAAACACCCGCTTCTCAGCCCAGTCTGCAGGCATCTCGCCGTAAATATAGGAATGTTCCGAACTGACCGTTTAGTCCAGCGCCAGTGTCGGTGCAGAGTTTTCAGGGAAGGTATACCGTCCGGGGGACGTCGCCTGCGGCCGAGCTCCCGGTTCCGGAGTCATGGAGCAGAAATACGCCCGCGTCAATTCGGCTGACTCGGATATGTAGCCGGCCGGGGAGTAGCCCGCGACTTAGATGGCAACTTTAGCCATACCTAAGGTGACCGAAGCTCCAACGAAGACATAAATAGGGTCGCCGTTTGGGCCGTGCCTGCGAAGATGGTGACGTGCTGCCCTAGAGGACCGAGGATTCCAGAGCACGGTGTCGATACTGCATACCATTCCTTTTCTATCATGTGACTTAGCACTCGACAATCGTTATCAACTCTGGCTCGGCTTCAGTGCGAAAATATCGGATGGTCATGACAAAACTTTCCCAACCAAATGCCGACATTGCTATGGATAATAAGACGTGTAGTGTGATGTGAAATAGACTTCTGCGGATATGCTGTGTAACATCCGCTAGCCGACTTGTACCTTGACCGTCCGGCTTCAAGTTTGCGGGAGATCCTTCATGTTATCTTCCTCTTCACTTTCACTGTGTCCTCCTGACGAGCTATTCACCTAGTCTCAATGGAACCCTTGCGTTCGCGTCCGTACCCCTCAGCTTCATTGCATAAATAACCAAGATTGGGATGCCTCTGACGGCTGACGGCTCGACTTTCTAGGCCTTTCTAACAAGAATTTCCTGGGCCCCGTGTCCGCAATTATGGGGTTTATGTCCAATAACAATCGTACATACTTCAGATCAACGTCGCAGGAGCAACTTGACTTCTGTCTTAGGAAATCAAGGGGAAAGCCCTAGGTCCAGGATAAGATAGTAACGTACTAGTGAAGCGAGACATACTCAAAAGCGGTGCCACTGCCTAGAAGTCCGAGTTAATTGGATCAACCTATGTCCAAACTCGCTGGTGATGGAACCTGAGGAGACTTGCTCTCAGTCACTCACATTTTCCATGCCGTTGGGCTAAGCGGGCCCGTCCTGAAAGCGGCCCGATCCCGAGCTCTCACGAAAAGCTTCACCCGGCCTGGACATCCGCTCGGCTGCAAAGCGCAAGTTTGATGACAGACATGGCCGAAATTGGCCCGTGCGAAGCTTTAAGAAACCACCCGAATCAGGGAATGGATACCTTCCCGGAGCACATAGCCCTGGCCGTAGGATGGGCACCTCAGAGTTCTGGGCCCTCTGTTGTGGTTCTACTACGGTATCAGGCCAAAGTTTAACCCCCTTGTCAGGCATCTTCGCCCGTGCTTCTCGAGATTACATCCGCGATATTACTTTCGAGATTCTTGTGCACGTCGGACATATATTTGGCCATTGAGAGTCACTGCTCTGCCCTGGCCAAACCCACGCTACCTGGCCAGACCCACGCTACCTGGTAGGGAGTTCAAATATACCCCTAAGGACCAAGTAGCTTCTTTTCCTTACCTTATGCGGGGTTCATAGCTTACTAGATAATTGCCGGGGATCCCAGGCAACATGATCCTTGAACTAGCTGCGGAGGGGGTACAGGGGGCAGTAGGTATTCCTTTCTTCGGTCGTTGGTCGGACAATAGCCTTACTCCTACCTACTGCGGACCTCGCAAACCCCTCTCGTCAACGTTCGTCTTGATCCAACGACTGATCTTCACCCATTCAGCTCACTATCATCTCCGGCCGGACATTCGCTTAGTCGAGAGCTTCTCGCATGGCACCAACCCTCTCAAATAGCCGTCTCAAATGATGACATCGCCCCATGAATACGACCGCGCCACAATCCGTCTCTCAAGGCATAACAGCGACTGTGCCGCTGCCAGAGATTGTGCCGGGCAAAAAGTCCACGAAGAAACGCGTGAGAAACTTTTCCGCCGATGACCGCGCCGCCCATCGTATCTTTGAAAGGGGTCGCCGCGAAGCCTTCAAGGAACGCTTGACTGTGAGCATTGACGGGCGAGACAAAAGCAGCTGTTAATCTTGTACCCAGACTGATCATCCAATCCATAGGAACTCGCCGGCCAGCTGCCAGTCCTCGCAGACACTGATCCAGAGCGGCTATCGAAGCATGTCGTCGTTAATGAGAGCATTGCCCGCCACAAGCTCCTGGAGAACCGATGCGTCAACGCTCTTCGAGATATTGAGTCCTTGCTACGAGAGCGCGATGAGCTGTTGGCGGAGATTAATGTCTGGAGAGGCACCGCCGGCGCGAGTACCCAGCTGCCGAAAAGCATTTCTAATATTGCGGGTCTTGTACAGACTGAGGATGAAATGCTGAGTCGCGAAGCAAAAGGCCATTACGTACGCGAAGGAAATGGTTCCAGCGAAGACAAGGGGCCTCGTGGCGGTCAAACTCAGGCTGCGATGGCGATTGGCACCCACTCGAGCGAAGCATCTCATCTGTCGCAGCTTCCAGAAGTGGATCGGACACACGATATCAACCCAGTACCAAACCTTGACGACTTATTGCGCGACACGTCATGGTCTCAGACTACCCAAACTCATCTACCAGTTTTTCCCGCCGAACCTCCACTTACGAGCCCAGACGGTATCCCAATTATACCACCTCCCACCACACAGGATCCTCTGCCAGTGGCGACGTCAGAAGCAGCCGACTATCGAATGTTCGTCGACGTAAACCCAACACAGCAGGCGCTGCTCCTCAACATGGACACGATTCAGTTTCCTGCTCCGGACGAGAACTCCACGGAGATATCAAACGTTCTGCTTAGGCCTGACTATCTTTCTCGGACCAGCTTAGATCAAGAACCATTACTTCAGCACTCTCAGCAATGGGTCTCTTGGCATGGATAGTCTGTTTCATTGTCCCGAACTCCTCATGTGTTCTAGCGAACGCCACTTCACGACTCACGCGTACCAAGGACATACCGGCGATACCGTTCGTCTCAAATCTGCTTAAGGACCTCCTCAATCTTTTCTTGACTACTCTTCTCACCCCCGATGAAGAGCTTCAGCGCATCTGAGAGCCGAGTCGTCGTAACGGGGTCAGCCTCGATAGCACTCTGCAGCGCGGCACCACCATCAGCGAGGTAGTCAATGTCAGTGCGGGCCAGCTTTCCGTCCCACTCGGCCGCCGCAAGAGGGTCGATGGTGGCGAGCTTCTTCAGCCGCTCAGGGGTCGGACGGATGTCCTTATAGACATGAATAGGCTTCGGCATGCCTTCGCCTGGCTGCTTGCTACCATCGTAGGGTAGCTTGGCAAGTTGGTCGAGAACGGTATGGGAGATGGTTGCGGAATGGCATCCCATTTCTCCTGCCGCCATGGCCTCTTTCGCTGAGATGAAGCTGGATTTAATAGCTTAGCGATGCTTGGAACAAGAACAGTTTCATATGCGCTTACCTGGCGTTCTTGACGAGTGGCTGTTCTTTCCCGGTCTCTTTGTACAGCCGCTTGTATGTCTCGATGATCTGGATGATTCGTGCCGACATAGGGTGTTGCGTCGCTGGGTCCTCGACATTCGGCCAGAGTGTATCCGGTTCGTCGTGAGCACGCACCTCTGCGACAGACATCAGTAAAGAACGCTCAACAAAGTGGGTGGGTTGTTCTGACCATTGTAATACGGGCTGATGTACAGCATGCCGGCCTGGCTGCAAGCAATAGCTTGAGGCAGGCTGAACAGCGCTGTCCCTAGGGTGGGGATCCCTTCCGACGACAAGATCTTTGCAGCGTTCAGAGCTGGTCCAGTCGATGGTATTTTGATGCAGTATCGATTGCGTCCGATGCCGGCCTTGGCAAATTCGCGATCATAGAGGCGTGCATGATCAAGGGTTTCTTGTTCCTTGTACGCGTTGGAGGGGAGAGTTTGCAAGAGGACTCGCCCGCGAATGGAGTTGATATTCTTCTTGCACATGAGAACGGCCTGGCAATTCGGTGTCAGCCTGCTATAATATGGCACCAGGAATTCTTTTGGTGCAGACCATGCGAGTGTAGATGGTGAGCCACCCTTCATTCTTCAGTTCCTTTGCAGTCTCGAGGAAAAGATCCCTGTTCGATTCATGGCCGAGCTGGATATCAACCCAGAGCTGGTTGCTCGTCTGGTCGTGGGGGACGATGGGCATGCTCTTGATGTACTCAGGATCCATCCAATCGACATCGACGTTTACTGTGTTATGTTGATGAGTGTCCAGGCTTCTGAGAGGTCGATCTAGGCGCAAGTTTTCACTTACTCTGTTCCTCAAGCTTATCAAGCCATGTAATTGCGCCCTGGCTTCCCATGATTGCGGATCGGTGGTAAATTTGGCTAGATGTCGAGGTAGAAATGTTCTCTTTCTTGGAAATCTCAGTGATTCGATCTTTACATCACGTTCTTGAATCCAAGGGAAATCTCCTTTAATAACAAATAACTCAACTCAAATATTTCGGCATTGCTGTCTCTAGATTGACTGTCTCATGCCCTGCATGTGGCTGCATCTTCACAGTCATCACTAGACATATCAGTGGTCCCATTCCGAACACTGTAAGACCAATCATGCGAACATCCTTTTGGACCCCCAGGATGCCACACGCAGGTCAATGTAAGGCAACACGCAGGGCACTGTTGACCCCGCACCGTGAGGCCTTTTACCCCTGTTTATCGTCTGTTCACATCGATGATCGGAGGAGGCAAAGAGGATACTCTGGGGTACACTTACCATAATACGACTGTGCTAGATACCATTTTTCTGGGTGCTGGCGCCCGCACCTCGACTTTGAAATTAGTGTAGCAGAAGTCGTCAATGTTGTGTCCACACCTTTGATGGGGATGCTCTGAATATGTCTGGTCAGACTGTGATGGGCTGCGAACTTGTATTAGTTTGGGAATATCAGATGCCCTCTGAATTCAGTTTGATCACACTCACTAATACCTACTCTGATATTAACTATCCCCAAGAACCCCGAGTCTTCTAATCGGGCGAAAGACCTTCATTAACCGGGGCTACGCGGCCGCCTCCCGAACAGCCTAGCATCAAGGTTTCAAGACCAACAACTTTCTATACACATCGCCCCGCATAGGCCAGAGAAACTAGCGCGTCTTACCATGTTACCCAAGCTCTAGGGTTCATGGACACACACAGGGCAGCCCCGCACTTACCCCATCCTGAACAAACACCACCAGGGGATGTCCTGCACAGGGAGGTTTGTTGCAGCGTATTTTGGTCACGGGAGCAGGTCCGAGGGATCCTCCCAGCCGTTCAACAGCTGATGATACTAAGACGTTCGGCATTGGTGACGAGGACCCGGTAATATTTCATCCGACCCCATGGAAGATGATGCTGGAACCGGAGGAGCAACCAGGATGGAATGGATTCATTTGCATCAAGTTATAAAGGAGCCTCCATCGTTATACTTCACTATGATCTCCGGTGTTGGCTTACTTCATTCTTTTTTTTGAGAGACGACTTTTTCTTCTGGTTCAAAGAAGTCAGCCACTATGTCCCGCGTATCCGATGGCGAAGGGGACGTCAAATCGAAACTTGACGTCAGTCACGTTGAGCACACGGATGCAGACTACAGCCGCAACATCGACGCAAAGTGAGCAGTCATCACTCAGATATCTTACGTAAATAGCAATTGACCACGGTCAGTAGAATCCGTAATCCACTCATCGGAGTCTCCAAATCGGATCTTCGCGTCCAGGTGTCTGGATTCTGCCGCGAGTATGGCTTCGGCGAAAAAGAGGATATCTTTTATCGCGGCGCCCTCGCAGCTCAAAACCCAGAGACTTACGATTCATTCGAAGAACTCACTGAGGACGACAAGAATGTGCTTCGCCAGGAGGTCACCCACAAATGGCATCTTCCACGGGACCTCTACTGGAGCATCGCCCTTTGCTCACTCGGCTCTGCTATACAGGGATGGGACAATACAGGTGCCAACGGTGCCAACCTCTCTTTCCCTCAAGAGTTCGGCATCGTGGACAGGCAGGCACTAGTTGGTGTCATCAACGCCGGCCCGACATTGTTCGGGCTCCTGAGCGCATGGGCTGCCGATCCTATCAACAACTATTTAGGTCGCCGCGGAACGATCTTCCTGACCGGTCTGTTTTGTGTGTTTCCCGTTCTTGCCCAGGCTTTCACGCAGAATTGGTGGGGCCTCTTAATTTGCCGTCTGTTCATGGGCCTAGGAATGGGAGTCAAGATTTCAACAATTCCGGTTTACTCAGCCGAGGTCGCACCTGCTGCTATTCGCGGCGGAATCGTCACGAGCTTCCAGCTGTGGGTGGCGTTTGGTATCTTTGTCGGCTTCTGCTCCAACTTGATATGGTTTCGTATCGGCGATTTAGCATGGAGATTCCAGTTGGGTGCCGCGTTTGCTCCTGCTATTCCGGTTCTTATCTTTGTCTGGTTCTGCCCTGGTATGTTTCGTGATTTTCGGTTCTTTGCTTGAGACGTCTGACCAGAGATGCAGAATCTCCTCGTTGGTTGATGAAGAAAGGCCGCTACCAAGAGTCCTTCAAATCCTTCTGTCGCCTTCGGAATACCGAAATGATGGCTGCCAGAGACTTGTACTACGCCCATAGACAAGTCATTGAAGAGAAGAACGCGTTCGGTGGCCAGACACTTTTACGGCGAATGACCGACCTGATTGTCATTCCCCGTCTCCGCCGTGCAACCATCGCCTCATCTTGGATAGTAATTTCGCAACAGTTCAGCGGAATCAACATCATGGCCTTTTACTCTTCGACGATCTTTGAGCAAGCTGGCTACTCCGCCCAACAATGTCTCCTCGCCTCTATGGGATTCGGCCTCGTCATGTTTGTCTTCGCCTTCCCTGCGGTGTACATGATGGATACTTTCGGTCGAAGGAATCTCCTCCTCATCACCTTTCCCAACATGGCTTGGTGTCTGTTAGCCTCGGGTCTTTGCTTCCTGATCAATCAAGGCTCAAGCGCGAGAGTACCACTCATTGCATTCTTCATCTATCTATTCACAGCAATGTACGGGCCAGGTCAGTGAAAAAGCAAATTTCCATTCTAGAAAAAGAAAGCTAAAACACGAACAGGAATGGGTCCTCTTCCATCCATTTACTTTTCAGAGGCTTTCCCTCTGTCTCATCGGGAGATAGGCTCAGCATCCACGATCTGCGTCAACAACGCGGTTGGTAGTGCCCTGACTTTAACCTTCCCCGAACTTTTGCACAGGATTGGGCCGACTGGGGCATTTTGCTTCTATGCAGGTCTCAACCTGCTCGCCTTCATCGTCATCTTCTTCCTCATTCCCGAGACCAAGTGAGTCCTCATACCGCTCAGAAAACCAAAAGTCACTGCTGACTCGTAATACCAGGCAACGGACACTAGAAGAGCTAGACTACATCTTTGGAGTTCCCACACGTCGCCATGCTGCCTATCAGGTCCGTACATGGTTACCATGGTTTGTGAGGAGATATATTCTTTTCCAGAGAAACGCTAAGCTCGAACCACTTTATCATCTCGAATGATCAAAACATCAATGGCTGTTGCAAGGGATGGAGGGATTCCGTAGCTAGACAGGCAGTCCCACTAAATGATCTGCAGCAGTGCGAACTCACAATAACTCCAAGGATATTACTCTTGTTAAAAATAGTAATCATGATGCTCCCAAACCCTTTAATAAGGTTATTTCCAATGTCTGTTCAAAATCGGGCAGATCGCCAATATCTCAGGCTTAGCAACGTCGTTCTCTCAATGCATGGTTTTTGTAACACCGGGCCCGTATCCATGCAGGCAGCACCAACTGAGTAGTGTGGCACAGTATATACTGACACACTGAAATTGTTCCTCTGAATCAAAGCTGTTTCGGCTCGGCTCAAGCAATCACTTCCATACAAATCAGCAGAAAAGCTTTCAATCCGTGTTCGACTCTTGGGTCTGCTAGCTATGGACAGAACTGAACAAAATTTACTTCACATCTGGAGTAATCCTAACCTACTGGGCAAGACTTGAAAATATGACCCCCCTCCCCGAGCCAGGTTTGCCTGCTTGTACAAGCTCACCAGACTTGCGAGTGACTAATAACTTTACCCATGTTTGGTTAAACTTCCGAACTCGAGAAGCATAAGAGTTCTCTCTGTCTTTTCTCTTTTGAACGTTAGCATGATGAATCATCTGCCTGTCTTTTTATTTCTTGATATTGGCATCAATGCCATCGGGCGGAAGGAACATTTTGGGTCCCTCTAGCAGGGGATTCGAGATTTGGCCTAGGATTGGGCTTATGATGCTGAACTTGTTTAGTTCTCGCTGCACGAGAATCATTATGACTCTCGCATGCGTTTTGAGCGGGTCGCCGATCACAAGAATTCTTCGGAAATGCCACCGGGAAAAAACATGATTCTTAGGGCTACTGAGCCGTGTGCGGTCTGTTGGCGTAGATATCACGTAATGTAGTTGTCTCCATAAACTGATCATCGAGGTGGTTCTCTCCCAGAGCGAGTTCGTCTTTGTAAATTCTTGAAATGGTTTTGCCATATGTTCTGTCCAACATTATGGAAAAAAAGCTAGTACAGACGGTTATTCGGGACCGCTAACATCGTGTAGTCAAGAAATTTCTCCTTTGGAGCAATCACTTCGTTAATAAGAGCCTTTCGCTCCGCCTGGGTCGAACGTAAGCTCTTTTGAAGGAGACAATAACCGTCACGAGGCCATAAATTGCGGATACACATCCAGGGTCCGCCTTTGTCTACCACTAGCCTAACTAGTACTATGGGTAGAAGCTACCTGATGTCAGGTAATAGTTCACGAAATGCCCTACAGTCCAGATCTAGTCGGGCAACGAGACCAAGAACGGAGATCACGAGGCCAGACTTTAAACTCTCATTCCTGAGTATAGATTTGGACTTTGATCGGGCCTGGTCTAGAATTGTCTAAGAAAGTGGCTCCTTGTATGGTTCTGCTGTGTTGAACGCGGAGTAAACAACCAATGCGAAGCAGATGTTCAATGACATATCTGAGGCCAAGTGCTTCACGCCCGCTGAGTGCTAGAAGCGGACGTACTCCATCGCCATATATAAGAATCAGCGCGAGTGAAATTTGTTTTGTTTGCTTCTTATTGAAAGGGGAGATGAGAGATGGGAGAAATTCGGCGCTAGAAAGGTTTTCGAAGAGGCTTTCAATAGCTCACGATAGAGAAGTTATGCTTAAAAGAAATGCTTCGCCACCATTTTCGTCTCTCGCTGCGAAAAACAAATGCGCCATGTAGTTACGCCTATCAAAGACACAGCGAGATTTGTGATCACCTCAAACATCTTTTCTGCTCCTACTTTTCCTATTCATTCCCAAAGAAGTCATATGCGACGAAGGGTGACATTCGCTCTGTCGACGGGACCTTTAAGGCCCTCAGTAGTCTCATTTGAGTACCCTGCAGGGGCCACAATTTCTGCCGTTGTTCCGACAGGAAGAGTTGCCTGGATGAGTATCACCCCAGCAGTCTCATCGACGCTGACCTCAACCTCAAGCACGCCTTGCGAAAGTTCGGTATGATAGTGAGCAGACTTGATACCGCACAACACTGGCGCAAGCTGTACTTTGCTCCAACCCGGTTGCAGCGGCTTCACACCAACCACATACTGCGGCAGAAGAAACACTGGCCAACAAGACCAGGCATGCATCAGTGAGGTGTCGTGTCCGAAGGGCTTGCCCTCGGTTGTCATCGCTTCCCAGTGCCCTCCCGAGTAGTTTGGACTTGACGTGTCCGCCATTGGACCCCACACATTTTCAATCAGCTGGATTGCTTCAAGACCCTTTTGACGTGAAAATAGCGCCTCCACAGCGAATCCTGTTGCGTAGGGACTCACAACTCCTGTACGGTCCCAGTGTTGAAGCCCCTTGAAAGCTGCAGGCATCCAGCCTGGAGGTCCAGAGAGGTGAGATGCACAAAGATCGCCGTCTGCAGCGACACCAAGTGCAATGGCATAGCCATTCGTGTCCTGACATATTCCTTCCTCCGGCAAAGTGGACCCCATACGGATGCAACACTTTTCAGAGTTCCATAGATTGGTTAGAATGCTCTTTTTCAGAGTCTCGAGCTTTCCAGACAATTGGGATCTTCGATGGTCGTCGGTGGTCATGGCCTTCACCGCGTTCAGTGCGTCATAATATGCCAAATTCGTTGTGCCAGAAGCTCCAAAAACAGGTCCCCCGAGTGGATACCAATGCACTATGAAGTATTAGCTAATATATTATGCAGCTGAGAGAGGGACCTTCATCTTACTTGACATGTCTGGTGAAACTTCGATCAGTCCCGATGGCTTCTCCTGGGATTCGGCGTACTTGAGCAACTTTTCAGCCGCCGGAAGATAACGACGAAGAGCTTCGTGGTCTCCAGAATTCAACCAGTAGTCTTTGATGGCGACTACCAATAACAAGGCGTAAGTCATAGAGTAGAATGCGTAAGTCGGAGGAGGCTCGGTCCCTGCGTGGATAGGGGCCTGGATAGGACACAGATTTCCAAGGTATCCTGCCCCGGTCTGATGGCTAGCAAGAAGCTCGATGCTTCCTGCAACAGCTCCGCTATCCATACCAGAATAGGCAACGCCTCGACCTGAAACGAAGAGATCTCCTCCAAATGTTGCTCGATCTCTCTTTGCGCCATCTACCATGCATGGTACAGCATTCGTTCCAACTTGGAAGTCTGCCAGTGTCCTCTCCTTGTTGCCGCATAACAAGTCATTCTGGTAGAGACAGTCTCCGTTCGCGTCTCTGACATCCAAGTTGCGATAGAGAGCAAGCCAACCCTCAGGACCTCCGAAAGCTACAGAGCCAGTGTTGATTCCCGAACCTCCCAGAAGGGGTCTGATCTGTACGTCTGCGATTGTTGCAACTTCTTTCTCGTTGATGATGACGGTGATCCGGTTGCCGCTCGTAATGGTAGAAACTTTGATCCATTCGCCTTGCTTTACGATTCCGTGAGTAGACCAGCTGCCAAAGGACTTGACTGGAAAAACGGCCGATACATGTGACATTCCCTCGAAGGCACGAAGTTCTTCTTGGACAACGTCCAGGCAGAAGATGACTCCATTGGCAACCATGTGGACACCCCAACTCGCACCTAGCTCTTCAACAAGAACCTGGAACGAAACTTCCTTGTCACCCCATCGCGTGCCTTGGCGGCAAGGAGCCCAATGTTGACCAAGAACCCTGGTCCCTTGATCGGTGATGTCCCATGCTGGGGCCGTCTCGCCTTTGACCACGGTGCACATTTCTAGCGTGTTGACACCGTCATTCCAAATGCGGTTGAGAATTTCGTCTGAACAACTGAAAGAAGCCTTGGGTCGTATTGTTGGCCTGATTGACTCAAAACCGAGTTTGCTGATTACAAGAGTGGCATTGGAAGTGATGAGAACAACTTTCAAGTACCTCTGGGATCGTTGTGCGAGTCTCGGTTTGATAGTTTGCTGCGATTCCGAGGGTGCTATAGTCATTGAAACATTGCGATAACAGTCCATAGCATTGGAAAAGAAGAAGTAGGGGCCATCGCCTTCGAGATTGTGTTAGTTAAGACACAACAAAGGTTAAAGGGGAACATTTCTACTTGTTTCGCAATCGATTCCTTCGATAGTTTCGCTATAAAGCATTCTCACGCTGATGGGACCCTTGCCGCTCGCACGATCAACGTAGAATGAAGGAGTTCCGCCAATGCATCGGCCATAGTCAAAAGTTATCGATGCCTGTGTCGAAGATCCTGATAGTTCGCCATTTGTAAGAGTGACGACCCCTGACTCAGCATCGCGCCGAGCACCATTCGAGGTTGAAACTAGCCGCGATGGCTCCAATAGGATGAGTTCTGAAGGATCCATTTGAATTGTAAGGGAAGCAAGGTGTAATGAAAAACAATCGTTGAATTGGTAGGAGATTTGACCTTGAAGACGACCTACGTGCAGTTACCCAGGTTTTGAGTGGCATGCCTAATAAGCGTGGATGGGCATCTAAGTCAGACCCTTTTCGGGAAATCCGAACATATCTAACACTAGGCTTGTTTCGGACCGGCGTCCACCCGGATATGTGGGGGATAGGTGGACAAAGCTCATAAAAGAGGCGACATGTCCACCTCAACGCAAGCTTGATTCACGTTTCCGTCCACCCACGAGGTTGCTCATACATCTCGGCAACTCCACAGATATCTGGGGCGCATGAGCTTCCCCAGATTGCCCAATTGAGTTGATGGGTTCACCAAACGAAATTGAACAGACTAGCCACACTTGTGGGGTTTGTTCTCGATCTTTTACCCGCATAGAGAATTTGAAACGTCATCAAAAGACGCGTAGGTCATTCGAGAATGAGCATGAAGGAGACGATGACGCTTGAGTCCTGACTGTTGTGCTGTATAGATCAGGGGAACCTACCTCACCGTTGTATCATTTGTCAAAAGAGGTTTTCACGGAGCGATCTTCTCAAGAAACACCAACGACTTCATCAGAAGCTTAGCCAAGAGGATGCATCACGTGACGAGGACGAATTCTCACCAGCGAAAAAGGTGGATTACTCCTTCATCATGGAGGACCCTAATCCACATTCGTCCCTGTCGCGAGATAGAGGCGGAGGAACGGGAACTACACAGCCGACAATTCTTGGCGACTCATCACTGCATTACCCAGATGTCGGCCGCGCCATGAATAAAATGCCTATGACGAGTTATGCTGCGTCTTCGGTTCTTTTGCCATCCGGTGTCGCGTTCGCCAGGCCACAAGACACAGTGGCTACAGCCAGTGAGCTTGGGGCGAATGTGGACTACTCGTATTTCGTTCAACCATGGCAGGATAGTCTGTGGGTTGACTCAAGCCAGTGGTTTACGCCGGATTTCTACGACGCGGTTAGAGAGACATCACATATCAGTGATCCTTTCATACTCCAGGACGATTCGATGTCACTTTCTGCTCACTGGAACTGGCTGGGTCAATCCCCCACTATGCCTAGCAGTAGTACTCTCAAGATGGCCTCAAACGCCAACCATGTCGCAGCTTTGGTTCCAGCTGAAGTCTCGGATGGGTCAGAGAGTATATTGAGAGTCTCTTCTCCTCCGAACTTGCCCTCGAGAGAAGACGGCGTAGCGTTCGCGTGGAACCCGTCGTCGAAAAGTCTTTGCCAGACACATTCTATATCTATCAACGAGTCACACCCTCTCATGATTCTACATAATCCTCAATTCGACATACTAGAATCAACATGGATTCGCGTTCAAAGTTTCCTAGAGCTTAAAACCCCCGGCTCGGAGAACTTAATTCTGCCGTCCCTGGCAGTAGCAAATGTTTTTTTGGGGCTCTTTTTCGAGTGTTTCTATGAGCAAAGCCCTGTGCTACACTTACCAACAATCTCGGTTAATCATTTACCGTCACCTTTACTCTCTGCCATGATTATCATCGGCGCCACCTACAGCGGTATCCGGCACACAAGGCGCTTTTCCATACTCATGCTCGATAGAGCTCGGCAAAATCTTCAAGCACTGATCGAAACCGACAAAAGCTTGACTAGACATCCTGAAACCATCTATGCATCTTCTCTTCTAGTGTATACTGGGTTATGGTGCGGAAACAAAGGGGCATTTGAGACTGCCGAAGCATTCCGAGGAAGTTTGGTGACATACGTTAGACGTCTGTTCCAACCGAAAACAAAAGTCGCGGATGCCCCAGATAGTCGCGTTGAAGATCGTTGGAAGGCGTGGGCAATATCTGAGTTCAAACGTCGTTTACGCTGGTATGTGTTCATGATCGACTCACAGTTTCCCGCGATCCTAAACATGCGGAGTATGATGTCTCTCGCAGAGGTCGCTAGGTGGGAGTGCCCGGGTGATGACGCCGCCTGGTGTACAACGAGTGCTCTAGCCTGGGAAGCTATAGTCAAATCCTTGGGGAGTTCATCGGCGCCAGAGTTTGGCAATGTTTATAAGGCTCTTACAGACAACAGAAGAGCTCATTCCACCAGTTCGACACCATTAGTCTCTCCTATTACTGATAATATCAGCTCGTGGACACAATTCCTGGTTCTCAGCTCTTTGGCTAGCCAGGCACTGGACTGGTCGCACGATTGGTCAACACAAGTCGGCAGTGACCTTGCTATGCTACAAGATATGAGCAGTGATTGTCATCAAGAAGGTCTGCGAATACGGGACAACATCATCGGTAAGTCATACTGTCTCCCAGTCGTCTCTGCCAAAGCTCACGCGTTTATTTCAGCATCTTTGAAATCATGGGAGTGTTACCACAGCACCAAGCACAATGGCAACCCGATCACGGATGTGGCGCAAAGTTCAGTGCTGTACTTCCAGAAAGCATCTCAAATACTCCGTGGCCTAGTAAACATTCAACTACATACGTGCGTTGCCGATTTGCAAGATTCCCTCGGAAAAAGCGGAGCAAATGCTGTTGAGGAAAGCCTGGGCCGACTTCGAGTCTATTTCACAAACGGATATACCGGTTGTGTTGGTTCACATCAAGAGCCGCCATTTGAGTCTCTAGACGCCTTCGCCAAATCAGTCATGGAGACTGCATCAATCATGAGCAACCCAACACTACAGTCTGCCACGCCTTATAGTATTTTTGGGATCTTCTTAAATCATGTCTTACAATGGGCGTTTCTAAGAAGCAGCCCCGAAACGTTGAAGTCGCACCTTTGTGGGCATCTCCGAGAGATATCTTCCTCATATCATGGACAGGGCATATCGGAGCTCACTGGAATACTTGATTTCGGGCTGTCTTCAGCAGACACCACAGTCATGAACAGGGACAGAAGCCACTTAGTTCTCATGCAAGCTGCGCAGAATTTGGCGCTACTTGGTACTTGGGGCGCATCGCTAAACCTCGCCCTTCTGCTTCAGTTGAGAGCAAAAACTTAGTTTTGACGCTGTTGATATTAAGGCTTTAGTCTGATAGTGGCCTGCTCAGATTATTATTGCAAAAGGCCCTAAAGCCACAATGCGCAGACAAACAGGATGCTTGTTGAGCCCAGGAGAATAAATCTCATCAACCAAGCTTCAAATTGCGAGTTTTCATCGACGCCACAGTGACTACACAAGCATTCGAAAAGAAGAATATGAATGTCGGTATAGTTCGGTTGTCTTCGTGATTAATGATGACCCATTCGTCCAGCACCGTGAAAATGCGCAGTGAATATGAGGTCCTGCCATGGTTGACTAGCTCACGGAAAAGAAATACGAGCAAACGATCCGAAGCTAAGATACCTTACTAAATTAGTCTAGGAAGTCATCCTAACTGGGTCTTGTTAAGGTTATGCATGCCTCCCATTAGCAGGCTTTAGCAGCACCTGGGATAGGTAGGCCCACTTGCCTACTTTTGAACGTGGCACTACCTGCTTATCCGCGTTCAGTTGCCATCATTACTTCGCCGATCGGGAATAATTCGCAAGGACCTCCCATGCTTTCACCATCAGGTCTGGTAGTCTTCCTCCGTACGTTGCAGCAAGGATAAGGTCTCCGCGGGGTCCTCAATCCACCAAGGCACGTACGTGTCTAGTGATGGCAAGCAGAGGCCGAAGCCAGACGATGGGAAAGAGGGGAGGCAAACGGTACATTTCCACGGAACTGTCGGCTTGAATGCCAACAAATTCAGGAAGTATCAGTGCGTAATTATAGATTAGAGTCAGTGTGAGGGAATGCCAGGGGCTCGGGCTGGCGCGCTCCACATACATTCCTCGAAAGAGTTACTTTTCCGTTCGTTAAGCCTCGTCATGTTGTCCCACCGGTGGACACGGAAAAGCTGACTAGGTTCATAGACGAAGATCCAAATGGGTTCAGAGTAATTGGAGGGGTGGTTTTCCGTCTCATCCTCCCCATGTAAGACCTTGTCAACACGTGTCCAGGTAAATGCCATGTCGGTACTAGTGCAGGGTCCGAATTGCGGACCATCTCCCCGAACCCCGCACGAGCGGAAAAGCTCGGCGCCCCATCTCCCCCATGGGGAACGCTCCACCTGGGAGTAGGTCTTATCGCGACTTCAAGTGGAGCCAACGGAGAGATGAGATAGTCTGGTTTCCTTCGTTACCTTAAATAGAGAAGCTCTGCACAAACGAAAAGATGCTTGGGAGTGGTAGCGTCTGATGCCGAAGTCTCACGGTTCAAAAGCAACACCAGCCCACGATCTGACTGGTGTCGAGACAACGCACGAAAGGTTCAAAAGCCAGCGTCTTTCCGAGTCATCAAAGCACAATGGCTGAGCCAAGAAATTCCGAAGAGGGTAAGGCAGATGTCAGCCAAATGGAGCGTGTCTTGACAGGCGGTTCCAATGGAGGCGCCGAGAAGCCTGTTGCCAAGATTGGCAAGGTTGACGAGTTTGGGGCGCATACCAAGACCGACCCAAAGGAGATCGCGCTCGTGAAGAAGATTGACTTCTACATTCTGGTACGAGCTTCAGTTGATGGTTGGAAAAATGGTGCTCCTACTAACTTGCCCGAAGCCTATTCTCTGGATCATGTATTTCCTCAATTTCCTCGACCGAAACGCAATGATCAATGGCAAGCTTAATTCGCTTTCCAAAGACCTCAAGCTGAAGGGAACTGAGTATAATACTTGTGTATCCATTCTATTTGTTGGGTGAGTCCTGTATCTCTGTGTACCTATTGGCCACTAATCTCAAGGTCGGTAGATACCTCTGTGGTCAGATCCCCTCAAACATGATCCTGAACCGAGTGCGACCCTCCTGGTACATGGCGGGTATGTATGCCAAGCATCCAATAAGAAACGCGTAGTTCTAATGGGTGGTCACATTGCAGGCTTCATGTTGACTTGGTCGATAATCAGTCTGCTTACGTACCTTGCACACGACTACAAGACAATGCTAGTGTGCCGATTCTTTCTCGGTATCACAGAGGCTCCGGTAAGTATCTGATTGTAGTTGTCGCCGTCATCTAAGACCCGAACGGGCTGACTGTGGTTTAGTTCTACCCTGGCGCGCTTTATATGCTCAGCATGTTCTACACCCGCAAGGAAATCGCAACGCGCATGGCTATTTTTTACACTGGCAACATGCTAGCCAGCGCCTTTTCTGGTCTGATTGCGGCAGGCATATTCGCCGGACTTGATGGGAAGCACGGCCTTGCAGGCTGGCAATGGTATGATAGAATCCGGCTCATCCCACCCAGATCGTGGACTCACAGTGGTAGGCTATTCATTGTCCAGGGCACTGTCTCCATTGGTGTTGCGCTCGCGGCATTCTACTTCCTCCCCGATGCTCCGCTTCAGACTCGCTGGCTCAGCCCTGAGCAACGACAAATGGCACACCAGCGCATATTTGACGATACGACCGATCGTCGCGAGGGAGGCACCAGTGTCTGGAAAGGATTGCGCGAGGCTTGTACCGATTGGAGAACATGGCTCTTCTGTCTCATGGACAACCTGCACCTTTCCGCAAATGGTTTCAAGAACTTCTTGCCGGTAAGGACTAGCAGTCATAGCTTATTTTCAGGGCATAACAAGCTGACTGGAGGCAGAGCGTTGTCAAAACTCTCAAGTACAACACCACAATCACATTAGTTCTCACGTGCCCGCCGTACATTCTAGCTGGCATCATGAGCATTGTTGTCTCACATTCCTCAGGCCGTTTTAATGAACGCACATGGCACACAACAGTGAGCAAGCTCATCGCTTGTGCGGGCTTCGCCATGGCTGTGGCCACACTCAACACCACAGTTAGATATGTCGGTATCATGATTTTCGTTGGAGCAACGTATGGGGTCAGTTCACCCAAATACCGATTTCAATTCCATCAGATGTATTTTGTTCTAAAGGAAATATAGGTGAACAATATCATTCTCGGATGGACCTCAGCAACTTTAGGCCAGACGGATGAGAAGAAGGCCGTTGCGATCGCCATGGCCAACACATTTGGGAACCTTGCTAGCGTCTACACTCCGTACTTGTGGCCAGATTCAGATGAGCCAAGATACTTGACTGCAATGCTAGCTAGTATCGGCTTCTCTCTCGGTGTCATTGTTTGCGCCTGGATCATGAGGATTGCGCTACAGAGGCAGAATAGGAAAACCTTAGCATCTAACCCAGATGCCATGAACTTGTATGTCTACTAAAACTTATCACACCCGCGGATAGCATGGGGTTAAATGTTTGATACGGATTATAAATCCATTGGATCTATCCATGGGTTGGTACTCGATCAACAGTAGATCGAGAGAGGACTATCCAGTACAATGAAACGTGAACAGCCAATACCCACAGGACTTTGATAAACCTAGAAAGTAGACCGAATGGAAGTTGAAGAGACACATTTGATGATTAGTAGGCCTGTGCATCCAAAACCATTTGAAATGCCTCTACAAATGAGTCCTCCCAATCGGCCTCTGTCTTCATGGGCCTCCAACCGAGCTCTGGTGCCAAAACGGGCTTCGTAGAAGAGCTGAAGAAATCAGTCTTTCTGCTCTTCCCACAATTGATTATTCGGTTGGTGCACTTGGAATGACTTACTGTGCAGCATAATTCATCTCCGCAATCTGAGGTGTCGCATTCAGCCATCTCGATCCAGCTTCTTCCAAGCTAACCGACCGAGGCTCTGTAGATTCCAGAGCACCAAGAGAAGCACCCGCCTTACCAACCAGGGTTGCAAGGTCTCGCCAATTGTGACTGCCAGTGTTGGAGAAGTAGATACCTCTCCTGCCCGAAGGAATCGTCTTTCTAGAGAGCACCTTGCTCAATATAAGCTCGTATAGTAGTGCAAGATCCGTAACATGAACATGCCCAAGACGGGCTGTGCCCTCACCTACGTATTCAGGGACGCCAGCCTTGATCGCGCCACGAATAATGGTAGGAATTTGCATTGATCCTTGATTGAAGAGGCCGGTGCCCCGCCCGTAGACTGTTGGAGGCATCATGATATATGCTTTGACTCCAGTCTTCTCTGCAGTCCTAACAACAGCAATATCTGTTGTTCGCTGGCCGTAAGCCTCCTGGGTTTCTTTCTTTTCCTCATGTTCGTAGACTTTTTCCTTATCTGACCATTGATGAATATCACCCGACTGCTGGGTGATCGTCCTTTCCGCAAGGTTGGAGGTTCCCGATGTCTGGCTCACGCATGGTTTTGTTAAAGATATCGCAACAAGATTCAGAATGGTGCAGAAACTTACGTGAATGAAGTGAACATCTCTTCCTGTCTGCTTCTTCCTCTCTGCTAATCCTTCCAAGAGAGCTACAGCCGAGCCTGTATGGAAGCCAGTCGGCGTGTGGATAACGTAGTCGTGCTCACTGGCAATCTTCGTCAAAAATTGAGAATCATCTAGGCCCGTGAAGATGATGGCATGGATCCCTTTCTGGCTGAGAATATCGGCTTGTTCTTGCCTCCGAACTAAAGTGGTAATCGACAGTGCATCAATGTCTTTATTGGAAGAGTTCAGAAGTTGTGTCAGAACAGTGCCACCACTAAGAAGCAGTCAGTTTATCAGGGCAAGTTCAGGTTGGAACAGAGCAAGGAGCGCACATGAAGCCTGTGGCGCCCGTGAACAGAAGTTTTTCGGGCATGATGAACAACCTTAATGATGTCTTGGTAGAAATCGTGAACTGATATACACAGAATCGTGGAACTTGGCGTGATGGTAAGTTCAGACTATGAAAGAATTCTGTAGACCTTACCTGCGTCACTCCAATGTCGTGGAAACGCCGGGATTTGTATTCCGCGGAAAGCCGGGTCCGTCCGTGGCCGATGATGACAGATCTGTGTCTGTCTTGTAGTCAGCATCAGTCGACCTAATACTGGAGACGACTGCAGGCTAACCACACACCACAAGTACACCTCCAGTCATTGACGTCATAGCTTAGCCATCTACCTAATCACATGCAGAAGTCATATGAAGACATAACCGGTTTGATGGATATCAAATGGCGGTAGAGGAATGCACCTGGATACACTGAATCCACTGGGACTAGTCTCGTTGATGTGGGCTGGACCTGTCAAAGTTTTCGCTGCCTACTTACTACCGGTACCAATTCTACCATACTGAGAGGAGGCATTGATACCGGCCTCAATAGCCAGATGCAACTCATGGCTTATCGACCTCCTATGGAAGTGCAGATATGTCAACGACACTAACCCAAATGTTCTCCTTATTCTCGCTGTAAGCAATGAGCAGTTTCCTGCCAACCTGGACTGCGCTAGGATAGCTAAAGCCAAACGCCCGATTCTTGATTCCATCACGCGTGTCCGGGACAATCTCCTTTGTCGCATTCGTTCTCAACACACCGATCCACTTATAAGTCTGGTCGACTCCACGAGATAATGCCAAGGTCAGTGGCTGTCGCTGAGGGTCTGCGGCATTGTATCTTGGATTCGACAACAGAAATCTGTCGCCGGTATTGTTGAGCTTCCCCAGAAATTGTTTTGTCTTTGCATCTGGTATGTTTGTTTGATGAATCGTATTGCCGTGCGAGTTCATGATTTTGGGATACCAGCTGTTCCCTTTTGGATCTGCGTTATACTCAACCCAAACTGAGTGGGTATTATTTGGCTCTGAAGTGATGTCGCGCCAATGTCGTTGCCAGTACCCTCCTGTATATGAATCACTGTCGTTGTGCCAAACGGCAAAGGTTTGTTCTTCCATTTGATGCGATCCATCGGCGGCATATAGACCGTTGTTGTAGAGCCATGGCGACCAAGCCGGTGCCTCATCCGGTTTTCGCAAAACTGCGTTGATTTCGCAGGCTCTGGCGCAGTATTCCATGCCATATTCAGTGCCATAAACGGTCTCCGCATATAATTCGGATTCTGTGAACTTGTTCTGTTCCAGCCAGCATGGATCCGCAAGCGGTTCTCCGCTGAGAGAAATTTTACGTGCGATTCGACCTGCACTTGCCCACCGACCTGGACACCACCTACTACCTGATTGGCCGACGGCATAAAGTTCGCCCTCGAGGTGTACGAAGGTCAACGCCTGCCATGCACGCTGAGCAATACCGCGGTCGCACCAATACTTCCAGTTATACGTTTCTGTCTGGTTTGGAAGTAGAGCGGCCGGCATCAGGCTTCTCCCAGAGCTCCAAGTTGCTCCATTGTCGCTCGAGGTCGAGATCCATATGTCTTGGCCCATACTATCCTCGTCAACTGGAGCAGAGGAGTAAATGAGGAGGACATCGGAACCGATAGCAAAGAGTTCTGGATGGTGCGCGTATGTACGGTTCTCGGCCACTCCGTTGTAAATTTGAATCTCTGCTTCAACCGATATCTGCTTCCATCCCGCAAAGAGTTTATCGTTGTAATCCAATGGCGGTGATACTTGCCATAGTGTATCAGACAGTGGAGGTTTCGCGTGTGTTCTGGTCAGCCATGGGGAAGCGAATAGCAGGCCTATGAGGCATGCGGCATTGGTGATCCCTGATGTGGCCATGTCCAGTAATCCCAGTATTTCGTCACTGGCATTCGGTGGGTCGACAATCGTGGTTGCGAAGATTTTGACCGAAGATGTGTTTTGAGCTCTGCGGACAAATGTATAGCAGACTTGAGAATCTTTCGGTGGGCAAGAGAATATGTTATGTAGGTGCCTTAGGGGCGCAATGACTCCATACCTAAGAGGAGGCCAAACCATGACTTTCTGCGGCCTGCACGTTGATTGGGGGAATATCCTGTGAGTATCATCCGGCGGCATGGGTAAATGGAGGAATGAGGAATCTGGTTTGTTCCTCCCGCGTCTCCCCACCATACATGGAAGTGCCAGCTGCCTGCACTCATCTTGCTTCCACGAAAACATCGGAGTAGTTATTATTGATTTGTCAAGAAAGAGCTAGTCCCGATTGCGATCTTGCCTGAATCAATTTTCAAGTCGCGCTCCTTCACTTGCACAGTTGTGCTCGTTCTTCATATGCACGTAAACCCCCAGAACTGAGACGCGCAAAACAGTGAAGCGGATGATGCAAATGGAATTGCACGAATTAAAACCAACTCAAGGTATTTGTGGAATCACGTGGTTTCATTTCTTCTTTCCGAAAGATGAAAGGGGTTTCATTGATTCAAATGATGTTGCTCCTTCCACCGACTAAGCTCTGCAGGCACAATCAAGTTTTGCCAAACTCCTCAATCAAAGTATCAGCTTCAGCTCGCCCTGTATTACTGCCGGCATCTGTTTCAAAAGCTGAATAGAAGTAGGCAGATGTCGGCTATTATCCTATCACGGTGTACTACAAAAGTACAGAACAATATCTACAGGTTGAAGCAACATGGCGTAGTTATCGATTAGGCAGCCCCTATTCCATCAAAAAATACCTCGTCCAACAAAGTATACAGCACCTGTTGTCCTTCCCACTGCTCCTCCGCGGCGCCAAGAATGCGATCGGGAGGCAAGACAAAGCCGAAATCGCCTGTATCAGGAAGCTCAATAGTATAAGAGAAGTCCGCGCCGCCAATCGCGTAAACATGATCAGGTGCTGCCCCCGTGGTAGTATAGAGGGTAGCACCGCTGGGCCCGAATGTAAAAGTCGTGCGTCTCTCGGAGCTGTCACGGATGACCTCGCTGAGCACCGAAGCAGTCTTGGTCCACTTACCGAGCTCGGGAGCATACCACGTCTCCTTGGAACCGAAGGGTGAAAGAATATATTGGCCGTAACTGTGCCAGTCAATATACAATTTGACACGGCTGGTATCGCGCAGCTTGCGAACGTAAGCGTCTAGGCCTTGGTTTTCGATGGTGTCTGAAGGCTTCTGGCCGCGGTAGGATTGGGCACACGGGTTAGTAGAAGCGCCAAACGGATTTGCGTCCCATCCGTACTCCCAGTTTCTGTTGATGTCGGTTCCGTAGCAAGTTGAATTCAAAGGTGGGGGGGTGCGTGTCTTGCGCCAGAGACGATCGACTTCCTGGGAGAATGTGAAGCCTGGTTCGGGTTAGCGCTTGTAGGTTCTTCATGAGAAAGCCCGCAAGGCCTGACTTACCATCTGGATTGACGATGGGGAAGATGTGAAAATCATATTGATTCAAGATGGAATCCGAAGCATTGGTGGCGTTCTTGTGTGCGTTGATCAGCTGTAGAGTAATATACTCAATTACCTGCGCCAGGGAACGATTAGCTCAGTTATGTCCAACAATTTAACAATGCCATCCATTGACTTACAGGGGCTGCAATCCATTCTCTTGCGTGAACAGTACCACTATCGTATCTTCGTCAGAATCTGAGACCGTACGCAGTAAGATTTGTATTTGGCGGCTAAGCCATCATTCTTACTGGTAGAGTACGGCAGGCTTTCCCGGACCCTCGTCGCCGAAAAGGTGGATTCCGTGAATTGTCCGATTCTCGAACGACCGCCCCGAGTACACAAGCTCAGAGTTTCCAGGAAAGGCTTCGTGGAGGTCGGTGAAGTATTGGACATGGTCCGTATACGAGTGGTACGAGTCGAACCACGAAAGATCGTCGATGTCGCGCTTATATGCGGTGCGAACTCGAGATTCGGCGGCGATTGACTCGCCGAGGTCTTTGTGCAGGATGCGGTAGTCTAGCCCAAATGACTCAACACTGCTGACTTGGTTTGGCGAAATCACGATGTCAATGTGAGTATCGACGTCGTGGTTCCATTTTTCATGAGGAATTGTGGCAAGTTTGGCTTGCACAGTTGCCAATTGGTTGAGCGTTTTTACTCGGAGAACCTGGTATCCCTCATAATTCACTGGATTCCTCCTCTGAAAGTTGAAGCCGGCGGCGAGCGTAGAAAACACGGAAACGATGGCGGCAGTTCTCATCTCAGCGATACATCAACAAAGATTGCTAGTATGGTAACACTGGGGAAAACAATTCTTGAACATCCTAACTGCTAGCGATGCACTTATAAGTACGCTGTTTTCGATTGTCGAAATCACACATCACGACACACCGTCAGTGCCAAGCTGCATAAGAGCAGTAGGTCGATTGCGTGCGCATTAGGCAGCCTCCAGACTGGGCCACGAAGTCGATAAATTCTCCAAGCTAGCAATTATCTCTTTCCGGGAGAAGCAAGTGTCCAAAAGTTCTTTAATAACGCGTCGCCGTGAATGACGTAATAAACAACATCACCTTCCCCTTTAACCTTAGCCAATGCATGGCATTTCTTGACCCCTCAGGAAAGTTGACTTTTCGTGATTCTTGTTGAGTATGACGTCTTTTTCACGGGAAGGCTCTCCTGCTTCTTCTAAAATTTGGAAGTACTTCATTGCGGAGCCGCGTGTTAGTCACGAAGGCTCCTCCGTAGAGCTGCAAATACCTATCCCACCCATCGTTATACCAAGAGTTCGACTAAAGAAAGCTAGGCAGATGTAACCGACTAAGATATTCTTGAGAATTGGAGGAAGGTGTTCGGGTTCTTGCTAGAAGCCTTGAAGATAATGCTTCGGAGCCACTGAAGACAACGGGAAGTAGGATGAGAGCTGCAAGACACTTATTTAGCGTAGCTCACGCGCCGAAGCTTCGTGCCGCAGACTTGTGGTATTAAATTGTCGGTCAACAAGGGCCTAGTGAAATCCAGGCCGCCAGGAAATCATGATGTCGCATGGTGTCGGGTGATCTAGCGGAATACCCTTCATGGTTGAAACCATGGCTACCCAATCACCTGAAGGATCTATGAGTGGACGCAAGCTCGTTACTCGCCCGGGACATGTCAATATTGGTTGCACTGTGAAATAAGTGGCTTACCTATGTTTGTCAATGCCGAAACCGCGGGACAAGTAGTCTATTTTGAAAAGAGCGATCCTTCATCCGCACCCGGGGCCTTGCAGCATAGGCAGCATGCAGACTGCTGGGTTTGTTGTTGTTCAGCAAGTCAAGCTCAAGCTTCCTACACATGGCTAGCCTCGCGTCAAGGTTTCAACTGGCGGGATCTTCGTTCCGGTTGACAACAGTCTGCGGGCAGTGGATGATACCATAGTTTTGTCCTGAGAATAACTTCCAAGTCAGGAAGGAGATCTTTGATCGTAAAATATCTCGTGACTTGGGTGCTCAATGCTGGCAAGGGCGAGCTGACGAAATTGATCAACAAGTGGTTGGTTACAAGGGTAAGAATGCTACTCAGAGAATTGGTGCAGCTGCAGATCATGAGTGAACATCAACAACAGGGAAAAGCTGGACAACTCGCGGTGGAGAGTAAGAAGCATATATCGTCGAATGATTTATATGTAATTCAGTAATTTCCCTGTGATGTTCTGAATAACGCAAGCCACAAACAACTGGCCTCGCGAAACCATCTACTCTGCAAGCCTCCAGAGACGCTGCTTAGGCTTGGTCGAATTCCTACAGGCCATGATACAACGCTCTCTGTTAGGAACAGATGGAAGTTTCTTCTACGTCTCATCAGCGATGATTGATAGAGGTAATATGGTGTTGTTGGAAGTTGACTGACCTACCGCCGATTTTGTCGACTCCTTGAACTAGTCGGCATCACAGTTGAACGTGACACCGTCAGGCTTTCCACCAGCCTGGCACGCCGCATTCGTAGACTTGCAGTGCGTGCTATCGGGTTTCACATCCTTTGCGCAACAAAAGTTGCACATTGTTCCTTGAATAGTGCCTCCGCAATTCTTGGGCTCCACGCAGTGTCGTCGGACAAGAGAATTCGGAGCGAAGTCAGACGGCATTGCCGCAGCCAGAGGCAGCAGGATGAGAAGGATTCGCATAGTGACCATGATTACTGGAGTTGGAAATGTAACCTGTGCAAGGCTAGTATACAATGGGATGCGTGTCATAGATAGTCAAATAATAGAAATGCAGATTATAAACAAGCGCTGATGCCGAGAGCGGAATGCAACCCTCTTTATCCTTGCTCCAATATCGCGTAAAGCTAGGACCATAGATGGCAATTATTTTCAGACTGATTATGGATGAAAGATTAACTTCAAGTGCAACTAGTCACAGGGCATGCTTTGAGCCTAGCTAATTGGTGATGGGCAGGAAGGTTTGATTTCCGAATCTGCCCAAAGCTAGCATCGAAAGTATACCAGGGCTTACAGAAATGGCGGCTTTAGGTGCATAGCAGTGAGCAGGAAAGAGGTATATTCTCCAACTTGCTCCAGAACCTGTGTATTTGCGCGACGACTTCAGAAACATAGTTTAGTTATGCATCCTTTTTGCTTGAAAATAAGCACGTGTCGCGATGCCGCTGTTCTTCATAAGACTTACGATTCACAAGCGCCAATTGGCAGCGCCGTGCATTGGATTTGCAGGAAGTTTATGAGGGTATTCGAGGCTGTTTTGCTTTTTACTCGCCTTCGTCGGATGTCCGTTTGAAGGGGAGAAGTCGACATAATTGTATATTTGAGGTGGTTTCGTCCGATGAGATGACGCACTCTCGCATCGGCTCCAAAAGCCCTCCGTGAACTCTACAAACAGTGCCTGCCTCGTTACATATATCACAGGGGTATGGGGACTAAATAATCCAAACTCCATTCTTGGCCATCACCTCAGAACCCTTCGACGCCAAGGCCGGAGAGTTGCTCATAGCCCATGGCCCTGTCCATGTCGACGAAATGTGGAAGCCGCTGTACGAAAATTCCAGCTACTCTTGCCTTTCATGCACGGCGGTTTCGTTCTCGGGTATATTCAAGCTTTCTTGGTCGTCTCGAATACATAGACTTGTGAGCTGGTGAATTTCCTCTTCTCCCATTGGGCACGGAGGACCCCGCGTCTGAAACCGAAGAGCTAGCCCGTAGACCGATGGGATGAATCATGACAGTCCGGAGATCGGTCTTGCTTATTACTGATAGTGAGAGGTGTTGCTGGGGATGCTGGCATACTTTAAGTTCATCAAAGTTGAAGGTTTGAGAGTGCGAGCTGTTCGGGTCAAATATTTCAAGGTTAGCAGATGATAAGTACTGGTTTAGGCACGGCATCACAGGAGTATAAAGATCAAATTAAAGAAAGGGCCAGTCGATGACCGTTACAAAGTTTTCTAATAATTGTTTGGGGAACGTTTTGTGCCGGTAGCCACGTCGATCATCGTTCTGAAAATTAAACACGCGGGTTGCATTTACTGCTGGTAGCATTTGACGCAAGCCTTTCTCTCCCAACACACAGAACAGCGGTAAACAAGTAAACAAGACAATAAAAGAATTAACAAAACTCCACCCAGGATCTAAATCCTGTTATACAGATGATATTACAGTAGGTAAATAGCTATTGCACACTCAATTTCTAGGCCTTCCCATTGGAAGTTATAAACTCAAACTCTTTGAAGTGAGCTCTTGCAAGTTCTTTTTCGACCCAACTTCCGATGCTTTCTACCGCACGATACGGGCTCTCTAACTGTACCTGGAAAAACCCCTGCAATTGAGACGGAGTCAAGGTGTCTTCCGGTATCATGCTGGAAAACTGAACAGAAAGCTTTTCGATTTCTTCCATTTTCAGGTGGGTTGTGCACCCTAGGTCTGGTGAAAACATCCGCACGAACATGTCCGCCGCTGACTTTGGGCTAATATTGCCCAGAAGGACCTTCATGTCGACGCGGCCGGGCCGGATCAAGGCACTATCGAGTTGCTCGGGTCGGTTCGTAGTCATGATGACGATACGGCCCTCCTGCGATCCAACGCCATCCAAAACATTCAGCAGTCCGGAAAGAGTGCAATTGGGCACATTGCTGCTCTCCGGTGAATGTGCGCGCCCATTCCCGCTGCTGATCTTCTCTTGATTGCTGGAACGCTCCACCCATACGGCATCGATGTCTTCAAGAAGAACCACACATCGCGGCGGAATCTCCTGGAACATCTGCTCCAGATCGGCATCCGTTGCCACACTAGGGATCTTGACCTCGTAGAGATCCAATCCAAACTCGCCGGCAATCGCCACAGAAAGCGAGGACTTGCCAGTTCCGGGCGGGCCGTAAAAGAGGTAGCCTCTCCGGTACGGCATACTCCGGTTTTGATAGCGCATCTGGGTCTTCGGATCCAGGTAGTTCCGGATATCAGCAAGCAACTCCTGCTTCAAGCCAAGGTCAAAGTGCACGGTGTCGAGGTGGCGAAGGGGCTTGCGGGCTTTAGCTTTCCATGACATGCCGTAACGGTCGCGGGAGTAGATGATGACGAAGTACTGCGTCTGCCTGTCGGCATACTCGCGGCAGGCCTCGATGAAATTCTGGACAGGATGCGCCGACCATCCGAAGCAGCTGATGGTCAGGTCCTCGCCTCCAATTCCATCATAGCTAGGGTCGGATAGCGAAGAATTGAAATCTCCAACGGCACGCGTGACGACAAAAAAGTTGCCTTTGAACCAAAGCCACCGTGTATTCCAGTGTGGACAGTATTGAACGGTGTGGCGCGTCTTCTTTAGAGCGGCGGCACGGTCTGGGTTGGCGCGTCCAACCTCGGTACGACCGGTGAATGAGCGATAATGTCGGGGCCGGTTGACGAGGACCCATTTCACGACGCTCCGATTGACCGGGTCACCACCCGGAATTGTGACGGAAGCGAGAAAAAAGCGCCGAATGCAACTATACGCTTCCCGCCAGGCACATTGCATTAGTCTCCAAGCCGTAGGAAGGGTGCCGGCTATGGCAACAAGGGAGCCAATTTGTGTGATATCGAGCTCGGACCACCGAGTGAGAACGTCCCTCACCACGCCCGCTCCTTGAGACCATGGGTCGAGGAGAGCGTGGCTCGCGCCGGCGATATGGAACTGGTGGGACATTCAGACGATGGGCTCATTCCGAGCCGTCCCGACTCGTGAAAAGATGCAGATCAAGGAATCGGCGCGCAACTAGAGGGAGGTTATAATGTCTTCGGTTGGCCAATCCTGTTCGGGACGGCAAGGTCCGAGAAATCTGGTCAGAAAGTGAGGCTCAGGCAAAGCCTGGCAATGAAAAGGTCAAACAAGAAGATAGATAGAATGAATTAACGCATTTGGATGAAACGAGTGACAATAAGGTGAAGCGAAAAAGTGAACAAGTGATTGCCGAAGAAGATCGCCCGAGGCCAGCTTATGGTCATTTCGACGGGTCAGCAAGCTTTTTTCCCCCCAACCCGCGCTCCAGAGAAGCCACTTTACCAGCCACACACTAGCCATACCAGAGATCCCATGATCGGCGAACACCTGCGGAACATCAAAACCCCGAGCTAACTGGGCCTTAGTTGCTCTTGGAACAACTTCGGCCCGTATGAATTCGGGAAGGTCCGAGGCCTTCCTAAAGTACTATTACTAGTTACCATAGGTAGGGTAGGGTGCAGTGGACAATACCTACGTACGATGTGCCTCTTCATCAAGTACTCTTAACTCGGAGATCCATTGCAGGTGAATCCAGGACCACGGGGTTCTGCAGATAAATGAAGAACATCTGGATCTAGACGGCTGCAGTCAAACTACTGTTCAACCGCCATCTGGCCACAGCAAGGATGGCAGCTCCGACCACGAGAGTTGCGCCGGTCCACATCGATAACGCAAAATATCCGGCGTGCGCAAGGATCTGGCCGCTGATAGGAGGCCCGACCAGAGCGCTGTCCATTATCATGGTCAGTAGTCATAAATTGCCCTAGGCATGGAATAATAGACGAGGGACGACTCACGTCACAGCGATGGAGCCCATCATGAAGCCGACAGCCAGCCCCTGATGACGATGATGCGCAATCTTTCCTACGCATGCACCCTGCAAGCTCATGATGGCCTGCAAATGCGTCAGCTATCGTCATGGAAGATCTCGATGCGAATCTACTCACTCCGGATGAAAATCCGTACGCCAGACTCCACACTACCAAACCAGGAAGAGACGTCGCCGCTGTCCAGGAAAAACCAACGATACCAGCCGCAAAAGTCGCCAGCACGCAAAGATTGAAATGCCCATACCGGTCTGCAAGGAACCCAGGAATGACTCGTCCCAGGAACGAAGCGCCGTTGAGCCCGGACAACAAGTAAAATGCCGTCGACGTGGACAAGCCGTGTTGAGCGCCGAAGCCCGTAACAAAGAAGAGGGGCGTGAACAGTCCAAAGTAGCCGAGCGCTAACCCTCCACAGAGAGGGACAAAGGTCTTATTCTTCAGGACAGAGTAGTTGGCCTTCGATTTGGACTGTAGCTCGTCATTCGATGAGGTCGCTCCCTTCTCATAACCATCTGATGCCGCATGGAGTGGACTCAAGGGTGTCTGGGGTGTGGGGGCATCAACTACAGTGATGCAGGCGATAGCTAAAAGAGGAGCCATGGTGAAAGCGACAACTCGCATAGTCCAGCCGAAATCAAGCTGGCGTTTGTTGAGCAGTTGCTCTAGCATGATCGGCCAGATAATGCCACCGATGGAGGACCCGCCAATCGTGAGACCTAGAGCAAGGCCACGGCGATGAGGCATGCGGCGTGATACCACAGCCACAGGGGGGCAGAAAATGAGCGACATGCTCACCCCGAGCAAGACTCCCTGGGCTAGAAAAACTTGGTAGTACTGCCTACAGAGAGAAGTCATGAAGAGAGCAAAGAGTTGACCGATGCTGCCAATACACAAGAGAATCTGTAAAGCGTGCACCTTAGTATGCAGTGGCCGAGTCGACAGAGCTGAAGTCAGTTTGAACATACAGTAGGTCCCAATCTATCGGTTAGAATGCCTGATGCTGGTGCACCTAGGTAGATGATAAAGATGGATATGGATCCAATCCAGGAAATATTGGACTCAGATTCTCCGATGTACGTTTGGTAATACTCTTGGAAAATGCCGAATGCATTGAGGAAGCCAACTGTGCAAAAAAGCGAAAGCGAAGCACCGACAACAGCGAGCCATGATCTAAAACTGATAGCTGCGAATGAGATTTTGTGGTTATCTTCAGATTTCGAAAACCATAAGCTCACCTATCATAACCGGGAGGAGGTTGAGATGCCCCCATGGCGACGTAAGTTGTGGTTTTTGTGGCTAAAGTATCAAGTTCGGGATATTCTGGCTGGTGTAAACGGCGGCAAAATATAATAAGGTCGTCTGAGGCATTGATAATGGCCAAGATCGATTTCAGGAGTTTCCCATGGGCATCTAATAAACATTTACGCTTTGCTGCCGTATTATTGATATAGGTGAGGTGGTAGCTAGAATTGGTAAGCGCCGCGGATTATCCGCGGAGCAACGCTATGGCATCCGAGGAAGGTCCGCGGCCAGGAGCGAACTAGGACTTTGCCTCATCAACATCGGCAAAGTCGACTGGCGAAGCACAAGAAAGCAATTTCGTATCATTTAATTCATCATGAAGCGCGTAATGTCACCTGACATTGAGAACGCAGCCCAGAAACGACGTCGTCAACCCCAAGTTTCGTGTGACTCGTGCCGCAAGAAGAAGCTCAAGTGCGACCGCGGGGACCCGTGTTCGAGCTGTGTGATGCGCGGCTTGTCATGCGCAGGACAGCCGGGGTCACAAAAGCCGATTGCGGAATTAAGGTAATCACAGAAATGGTGCATACATATCGACGATCGGTCTGCCCTAGCTAATCACGAATTGCCGTGTACCAAGGTTGAGCGAGAATGCCGACGATTCTATTCTGAGTCGGCTCCGGAAGTTAGAGCACGCTGTGTTCGGGCCAGTGTCTTCTGCCGGCAAAAAACTTTCCATGGAGCAGCTTGCGGATACTATCGGACCTGAGAGGGTAGAGCGGTCTAAACCATCTCGACGCCGAAGTTTGGCTTCATCAACACGGCATCCTCACTTACGGAGGTTCACGGACAACGAAAGGCAGCAAACAGCGAGGTTTCTTGATTCAACATTCACGCAAAACGGTCTCAATGTGAGAAACATAGTATCAGGGCCTTGAAGGTCGAAATGCTAATGAGCTGTTATGCAGGTCACTCTACCATTTAACAAGGTGGACTACCACGTTGCTAATGTCTCTCACTTTCCTAAGACACCCGCAAGCACCACCCCCGGCCTTACGCCCCCCATTGATTCAGAAGGACGATTATCGACCTGGCTGATGACACAGGAAGAGGCATTGCTGCTACTACAAGACTTCCTCGACAATCCATTTCATCTTCTTCCCATACTTCATCCAACAGCAGCCAGGTCCATGATCGTCAACTTCTACTGCGTCTTATCTCGCGGAGGCGACCCAAATCCAGCACACGCTGCACTGATTCTAGGAATCGCAGCAACGAGTGCTTTCTTCTTCACCGAGGGGTCCAAAGCCAGCGGGACCTTCGAATCTTTGGAAGAAGCCACGCACACCGCCATAGCTTGGTTCAATTCCTCGCTCAACATACTAGAAAAATCACATGCCAATACTTGCGGCTGTCTGGAAGAGGTACAGGCACGTTCGGTCCTTGCTTATCTTGTCTACAACATGGAAGGCTGCTCAGCTCGATTTAGGTTTCTTCATGGCTGTTCGTTGTCGTCCGCCCGAGAGATGAGCCTGCACCTAATCGACAGCCCTAGCTCGGAACAGCGGGACGATGAGGCTACGAAGGAAATTAAGAGAAGGGTATGGTGGCATATTACTGCTACAGACTGGTAAATCGCTTTCATTCCTCTTCTACCGATCATTGCTCATCATAGCTAAGGATGTTGGGTCTTATGGGAGGGCCCACGGATGGGACATACAACGTTCAGCCGCGACAAATGAATGTAAAAGAACCTCGGAACATCAACGATGACGAGGCAAGCCTCTCGAATGAGGCCATTAGCATGCCTTCAGATACTTCAACGTCGATGAGCTGTTTCATCCGGCGCATCCAACTCGCTGGTATTGCTCGTTCTATCATCGATGCCAGAGCACCAGGAATTCCAGATGCTGAAATAACGGACTACGAACACGTCCTCGAGTTAGATCGTCTGTTTGAGGATGCCATTGTTGACTTCCCTCCCTTTCTTCGCCCTGACGGTCCCATTCCAGAGACCGCACCGCCCTATCTATCGCTGCAGAGAGACGTTGTTCTACTCGGTTTCCTCTCGCGACGCGCTCGATTACACCGGCCATTCTTGCTCCATGACAAACAAGATGCCCAATACCAGTCATCGCGAGAGATATGTCTGAGCTCAGCCCGAACTGTCCTCGCGATCGCCACACGTCTACTAAAGGTTTCACAGACTAGAGAACCAGTGCAAACCTTGAGCTCCCGAGCAATTGGCTGCCGTCTAGGCTGTGTCATCGGTCATATGTTCATGGCGTGTACAATCTTGGCACTTCACTCAGGAGGCGTTTCAAGTCGTGGGGGCTTAGGATACGGAAAAGAATCATGGCTAGTATCTGAGGCATCAGCAAAGATGCATGCAGAGGTTGTACAAGCTTGCCGTACTTTGGCGTTGGCCGGAAAAGAATCGGTGATTGCTGCGCAACTTGTTCAGAACCTCACTGGCGTTTTGCGTCGCTATCGTGTCCAGGGGGTGGATGACGCTGCCTCGTCAGAGGCAGAAGATGACAGAGTGTCTATCGACGCAGGATCCTCGACTGACGATCCCGAAGCGGTTGCAGCGGCCGGACTGAGGACAGTTTCTGATGATGGTCTCAGTACTGAGAACTCGAGTTTGACTGGAGAAGACGTTCTCGGTCTTGACAGCCTATGGAACGATCTCCTTGGGGACGCCAATTCATTTGGATGGGATCAACTTTTTGCTGGACTCGACTCCTATTGCGGCCCGACCTAGACATCAGCTTGCCAAAGACACTGGGACTTATCGTCGATGTCGAGGTGTGCAAGAGGTGACATCCGGCCTGCTACCGTCACAGTCCGACATTCTCAACTAGCCGTTATTATCATTCGGCTAAGATGATCTGGTGCACAGTCGATTGAAATCAATATTACTTGCTACTTGTGGTACTCTTCTGCATCCCATCCCATCTCTCAAAGTTCCTCGCATCCAAATCGAAAAGATCCAACAGCCTTCCGACCATCTGATCGAGAACATCATCAATCGACGACGGCCGCGTATAAAATCCTACAACAGGCGGCGCAACAATCGCCCCTGCCCTCGTAACCTCCATCATATTCCTCAAATGGATTTCACTAAACGGCGTCTCCCTCACAGACAAGACCAGCCTCTTGCGCTCTTTCAAACAAACGTCTGCTGCCCTCGTTACCAAGTCGTCACAGATACCCGCATTGATCGCAGCGAGGGTCTTGACGGAACATGGAACAACAATCATGCCATCTACGCGATACGAGCCGCTCGCGATAGGCGCTGCTAGATCGTGCGAGCTATAGGCGTGATCGGCAAGTGCTTTCACCGCCGCGGGTGTGTAATCGGTTTCCCACTTTATCGTCTCGGCGGCCCACTTGCTGATAATGAGGTGCGTTTCGACGTTGAGCCTCCGAAGGGTCTGGAGAACGTGTATGCCAATCTGCGCACCTGTCGCTCCTGTCAATGCGACAATGATCCTTCTGCGAGGAGTAACGTCTTTCATTTCGTTAATGGCTTTTTTGTTGGCAGTTCTTGGAAAGCGTTCACCGACGTAGTGCCTCTAGAGTGTTATTGGCAGTGATTTGCCGAAGATGTTGTAGACGTATAATATGTTTCTCGGTCTAAAAGTGCTTGGAGTGATGTTTGAGCCAGTTGTAGTTTCTTGGCTCTGGATGACACTGATTCTCCAGCGATGCTAACCTGGATATTTAATGGTATCATGATACAGGTCTTTTCGGCGGAATCGGAGAGTTCGGAAACGGTTGAGGGCCGGGTGCCGAAATCTCCGAACCGGGAGCCACTCAGATATTCACAATCTCGGTTTCCGGCACCGGTACAGAGAAGAACTTACTTCCATCCTGGCTCGGGGATTCTGAGCTCGAGTCTCGGCGAGCTCGGAGTGATTGCGTCAATACCACCGCTCATCGGACTCCATGCTAGCATCCGGTGTTGATGGAAGCAACATATATGAATACAACATGGCCATCTACATCAGTAGCATCATAATCACATCTTACCGCCAACTGCCAATTACAAATCGAAATTTCTTCATTCTTGGACTGCATATATATTCAATTTTCCAATCTCAATCCGCATAACCAAAAATGTCACCGTCAAACCCCCAAGACCTCCCGCACCTGAACTTTCGTTCCTATGTCGAAGCACTTAAATCCGACGGCGACCTCGTCGAGATTAACGAAGAATGTGACCCGAATCTCGAAGTCGGCGCCATCATTCGCAAAGTTGTTGAGACAGATGAACGAGCACCCCTCTTCAACAAGCTCAAGGGTCAAGATGCAGACGGCTTCTGGCGTATCCTTGGTGCGCCAAACTCTCTGCGATCCGACCCCTCCCAGCGATTTGGAAGACTGGCAAGGCACCTCGGTCTCCCTCCCACATCAACTATGAAGGAGATACTCGACAAGATGATTGCCGCCAAGAATGCGACCCCAATCCCTCCCGTTGTCTCTGGCACCGGGTCCTGCAAGGAGATCCGCTTGACTCCAGACCAATTTGACCTCACCAAATTGCCGGCACCGATGCTGCACCAGTCTGACGGTGGAAAATACATTCAGACGTACGGCATGCATATCGTTCAATCGCCGGACGGGAAATGGACGAACTGGTCTATCGCTCGCGCCATGGTATATGACAGGAACCACCTTGCAGGGCTCGTCATCGAGCCGCAACACATCTGGCAGATCCACCAGATGTGGAGAAAGGAGGGTAAGGATATGCCGTGGGCGCTGGTCTTTGGTGTGCCGCCGGCCGCCATCATGGCTTCGAGCATGCCTTTGCCGGGCGGCCTGTCTGAGGCGGAGTATATCGGATCACTGGTTGGAGCACCATTGGAGGTTGTCAAGTGTGACACCAATGGGCTTTGTGTCCCTGCCAACTCGGAAATTGTCTTCGAGGGTGTTTGCTCTGCTACAGAAACAGCACCTGAGGGTCCCTTTGGAGAGATGCACGGGTATGTGAACTGTTCAAATTGTTTGCAAGAATGTTGCAAAGATACTGACTATCCTTCCAGATATGTCTTCCCTGGCGACGCGCATCCCCAGCCTAAGTACAGGGTTGACCTCATCACACACCGGAAAGATGCCATTCTTCCAGTATCAAATTGCGGCCGCGTGACCGACGAGACGGTAGGTCACTATCGCTACTCTCTTCTGATAGCAGTGCTAAAATGACGCGAACCAGCACACCATGATCGGACCCCTTGCCGCCGCCGAGATCGGCTTTCTCCTGAAGTCTAAGGGTCTGCCCATCAAGGAGGCTTTCTCACCCTTCGAGTCTCAGGTGACATGGGTCGCCCTTCAGGTCGACACCGAGAAGCTTCGCGCCATGAAGACCAATGCGAGGGACTTTTGCCGATCCATCGGCGATGTTGTCTTCAATGATAAGGTCGGCTACACGATCCACCGCCTCGTCATTGTCGGCGACGACATCGACGTGTACAACTTCAAGGACGTAATCTGGGCCTTTTCCACCCGCTGCCGCCCTGGCTTGGATGAGTACCATTTTGAGGACGTCCGCGGCTTTCCGTTGATTCCATACATGTCGCACGGCAATGGTGACAGTCGCATGGGGGGGAAAGTTGTTTCCGATTGTCTAATGCCGACCGAGTATACCACAGGCCGTGACTGGGAAGCTGCGAACTTCCAGGAGTCCTATCCGACTGATCTCCAGGAGAAGGTGCTGCAGCGTTGGGAGTCATTTGGATTCACTTCAAACTAAAATTTGATTCAATACCTTATCAGACTGTTTAGAGAACGTCAATCGAAAAATTATCAAATCCCAACGTAGAGATTTCATTTCATACCAGCGTGGGCAGAAATGAATCATTTCCATAGTTTTGATCCGACATGATGTAGTCAAAAGCGCCGAGTGGGGACATATCGAAATTGATGGGGAATTCCCACTGAGCGTCGCCCATGTCCCAAAAGCTGGCTTGTTAGCACTCGTCTGAGAGGTTAAATAACCGGGTCGACATACTGAGTTTGTTCTGAGACCCGAATCGCATTATCTTGGACTGTTGCAGGCCTTTCGCCGACAGTGGGCATATGACCAGGAGTTGCAATGTCTTGGCCGCTGTTCTCCATGGTTGAGCCACGCGAACTGACATCACGCTCCGTCAATGCTCGAAGAGTCCGCAGAGCCTTTAAGGCCTTCTGGAGAGTGCCCGAGAGCTGCGCGTTGGTACCAGGGTCCGTAAGCAAGGCGGAGTTGCCTTCTCCCTCTGAAAGGCTTGCAATGAGCTCATCCTGAAGGGTTCTGGTCTCGGCAAGATATCTCGTTTCTCGCATTAAGCTCAAGAGAAGAACAGACGTTAGCCCATTATGAATAAAGGCCCAAGACCGCCTTGCATGTCCTGCGATTGACCTCAACCGAACATAAGCCCGGACGCTGCGCTTGAGAGATTCTCGAAAGTGCTCGAGGATGTTCGACCTGTCACTTTCACTGAGCCCTGTCGATCCACTCTTCGATATGAACGGGCGACAAAGAGTAGCTATGACAAAATGTCGGTGAAGTTCGAAAGCGTAGTGTTCTTGAATCTCCGGTATTGCCGTGCTTCTCGTGGGATCGATTAAGTGGGGTGACAGAGAGGCTTCGATGGATTTGATTTCGTCAAGTGCCGAAACTGGCCCGAGTGACGATTGGAAATGAGACGAGAGATGGCGCAATGTGACATGACAAAGCCAGCTCATAGCTTGGAGGTAGGATAGACCCGAAATTTCAACAGACTCTGAGAGCTGAGGCAAATCGCTTTCGAAATCCAACTCATAGGAGGCTGGTGGGCGACCAAAAGCGAGTGCGAGGAGGGCATCCTGCCACACAATTGCCAATCTGACCAGTAGTTAGCAGGTGTATTCTTGCAGAGAACGCCGATGTGATTTACCTCAAACACTTTGCCTCTTCATCTGTGGGCGGAGATTTTGGCGGACGGGCTGTCCTCTTGTGAAGACCGAGGCACTGCGCGAGGCGGATGGTTGTACCCCCAAGAACCCAGGCTGCCTGAGGTTTCATATCATTTTGAAGCACATTTCCTAAGAGAAGGAGTGTCTGAACGGCCTCCTTGGATGGATTCGCGAGATAATCTGTTGACCGTAGGAGATCAAATGAATGCTTCGCTGTGGCTGATCAGCATTTTGACAAGGTGGATGGAATGATGCGGTGATCCAAAACATACTATGTCGTTGAGACACTGCGAGACGATCTCGTAGATTCATATCGGAGAATTGAGCTCCGGCCGCCATGATGGCGTGAATTAGAGACAGCCATCTAGGGTCTTCGAGCGACTCGGAACCAATGTCCGATCCTCCCCTTGCGTTGAATAGTTGGCAGATTCGTTGCTCAATGGTATCTAAATTGGAGGTTATGACGTGAAAGGGGTGTACTCGACGGCGAAATAGCTCAAAGAGCCTGACTATTTCTTGGTCGCTTGGTAGAGACTGATAGGACGATACGGACGTGTCCGCTTCTTCATTGACGCCAAGGAGAGGTAGTATGCCTGTCTCGAAAGCAGATTGTCGAGCTGGGTCATCTCTAGACCGGATTGAGCGCCGTCTGATCATGCCTATCACCGAACTATCGGTTAGAAATAGTCGGTCACCACCTTCTCGTGCAGTGGATATATTAGACGTTGCCGTTATGTGTAGATTGGTTGCGTTCTGGGCTCCTGGACCAGGGATGACATCTCCTACCCGTTCCTCGACGATATTCAAATTGATCGTGTCCGATTCCTCGAGTTCCTGAGATATGTTTGGAGTTGCAATAACTGCAGAAGTTCTTCTCGCAGGTCGTGCTGGCGACTGTGGGACACCGAGCGACTGTCGTGTAGAACTTTCATAGTTACATAGATCCGGGTGTCCCCGTTTGTCGCAGGTCGAACACGGCAATTCCTTATCGCATTTAACCTTTCTTTCACGGCACGGTACACACGACTTAGGGTTACCACGGACGCCTTTACGATTCCGTTGACGGGATTTGAGGAGGTCGCGAAGGGCTGAGCGGTCATCGTTCGGGGTATTGGGAGATCGACGGATTGATAAGTCCATTGAGAACAACAGATGGGCGTTGGTATTGATGTCCAGATTACTCTCAGATAGTCTAAATCAGAAGACTTCAGATCTGGGCGAAATCTCCGGGGCTGTGGATTCTCAAACGCAATAAGAGCAAGGCAATTGCTGCCGAGAGTTCGTGACGTCCAAATCATGGTGTCAGGTTTATACCGGACTTTACCTAATCGAGACGCCGACTTCGGCCTTCGGAGAAACCTTGGCTCGGAGCAAGTCCGGATCCCGAATTTCTGTGGAGAGTCCACGACCGAGTGCGAATATGTCTAGACCAGAAAACGTGTTCAACCCACTTCTTCGCTGTGCTGTTTCAGAATGTCTCGAAGGCCATCCCAAGATTTGCCGATAATTCGAAAAGGCCATATGCCAATGTCAGGAATACCGTCGCTTATATCACAACCACCTACCATGACCTGTTGCTTACTCACTACATTGAAGCAAGAAAAGAGGATCCTAAACGAGGCCATGATGAACAGCAGAACTCTGATTGAATTATGAAATACCAGCTTTCCTTCAAGTATGGTAATCGCCGGGGTTATAAAATCGAAAAGTAACTACGAGATAAGATTTAGAGGGCGATATAAAGAGACGAACTAATACACTTTTACGCTTCTTGTAACCCTGAACTAATGTGGGTCTCATTGATGAGGCTGCGGCCTATCTTAGTATTACGGGCTAGACCCGATTAGTGGATCCAAGCCTTAGCCCGGATATTACTATAGCTTACCGCGCCGTTTCTATAGAGGTCCTACTTAAACGCTTTTTTTTTATAAAATCCCTATTTTAAAAATCTTTACTCTTTAATTTAAATTCTATATACTAAAATTATTTTTATATAAATTTATAAGGACTAAACTTTTAATATATTTAAGCTTATTTTTTTATTTATTTTATTACTAATTATATTATATAATAAAAATAAATACGATTATTAACGTATTATTAAGTACTTAACTAATAAAAGCTATAATATAAATTAAAAAATGAATTATTTAAAGTTCATAAGAGCTAATAAAAGCCTAAAAATAAACTAAAATAAAAAAAATTAAAAATATAATAAAATAAAAGCGTAAATATAAAAAATTTAATAAAATTTTATAACTATTATAAAAATAGTTTTAATAAATAAATAGGCTTACTACGCTCTTTAATAAAAAACTTAATAATTATAGAATTTTTATAAGCCTAGAAGTACTTTTTAATAATAAAACCCTTTATAAAAAGCCCCTACTTAATTTAATAAAATTCTTAAGTAATAAAAATAAGTATAATATTTAAAAAGCCTAAATACGTAATAAACTTATTATTAATACGCCTTTTTATTATATTAATAAAAAATAAAAATACCTCGTTTTTTTATATTTTACCCCCTAGGTTTAAAAAATAATAAGTTAATTTTATTATAAAAAAGGGAAAAATAAAAAACGAAGGTCTAACGAATTTCTTATATACTTTTTATAAACTTATAATAACCCTTATTAAGCTAAGAACGCCTTTAATAAATTATTAATAATAATTATAAAAGAAAATAAAAAGTTCGTAGTATTTTTATTTTAATTTAAAAAAACTTTAATTAACGTTAAAAATTAAAAATAGCTCGTAAATATTATAATTTAATACTTTATTTACGTTTTAGCTTCGTAATTAAAAAAATATATAATTATTACTTTTTAAAATAAATTATTATATACTAGCTTTTTTTATAATATTTAAATAGTAGTTAATTATATAAAGGGCTATAATTTTAATTAGTATTACCCTTAGATCTTAGTATAAAAAAGATATTATATAATAAAAAAACGCGTTAATAATAATAGGGATATAATTATAATTAATATTATAAAAATTATAAAGCCTAAATAAAAAGCAAAACTATTAATAAAACTAAAACCTTATTATTATTTTAACTATAATAAAATCGAATATATTATAAGAAATTATAAATAAAAACGGGGAGCTTACGTAATTTAAATAATACTTATAAAAAAAACAAATTTAAATAATAATAAATATTATTTAAAAAAAGAATAGTTCTAATATAAAATTAAATACTAGAGCTTATAGGTAAAGAACGGATAAAATAGGAATTATTTAATTAATAATAAATTATAAATAGGCCCTTAATACTACTTATTATAAAAATTAATAAAATATATAAAACTTTAATATTAATAAATTATAATTATAATATATATTCTATAATAAACTCCTAACTAGCTTATTATTTTTACTTCCTATATATAAATAAAATAAAATATAAATTCCGTAAATTCGTAAATAAATCTACTTAAACTATAACTAAAAAAGTTATTATTTTTAATTTTAAAATTAATAACTATATAAAAAAAATATATATATATATTGTTAACGGCCTAAATATAAACGTATTCTTTAAAAAGCCCTAAATAAAATAAAACTATATTATATATAATATAACTAAATAATAAATTTAATATAAAAAAAGTAGTATAAGAATATATTTTAATAAATAAAAAGAAAGTATTATAATTTAAAAAATCCGTAAAATATAAAACTTAAGAGCCCCCTCTTTATTATAACTTAATATATATAACTAACTTAGAGGCTAACTTACTAGCCGCGGCGGCTATAGTATATTATATATATAAATAAAATAGGGATATAGCTACTCCTCGTAGAACGAAAAAATTATAAGATAAGTTATATATTAATAAAATAAGGATTATTTTAGATTAGATTAATTTAATACGACTTAGGGGCTAAACGATTATTTTAAATTAGATTAATTAAGGATAACCTAAAGAATAAAGGATATATTTAAAAATAAGACTTATATATAATATAAATTTAAACTAGGCTTAAGGATAGAACTTTTATAGCTTTTTTAATAATTAATTTAATATTAGATTTTATGATTATTTTTAATTATTTTTATTAAGAACTTTTTTTAATAAAATTATAATTAATTACTAAAACTTTATTTATTTTATAATTTATAAATATAGTTTTAGGGAAGCTATTTATAACTATAATATTATTTATTTAGTTATTATAGCCTTAATTTTTATTAATATACTTATTATAACTAGTTAGTTATAATATTTTAATTATTTTTATTTTGTAAGTTTATTTTATAAAAGACTAATTAAATAATACGAATAATATTTTTTTATACCTTAGCTAAATTACTTATTCCGGGCTCTTTTATTTTTTTTAAATAACCTATTTAAAACTTAATTAAAAAAATAAAA